TGTCCCGTGGCATGTATGATCACACTTCTTCAGCTAGGGATCTGATGATGGGACCGACGGGATTCCGCCATTGTCCCTCCTGCGTCAGTACACCTGGCATCACGGCCTGAGGCCCCCTCTAGTTCTACTCTCCCTGTGGCCTCCACCGCCACCCTCTCCCATCCACCTCTTCCTGTAGAAACTGTTCCTCCTAGTTCCATCCCCATAGCAGCAGCCTTGCTCTGGCCCTTACCTGGTCAGGATGGAGAAGGGCCTGAGGCAGTGAGATGTAGATGCTGATCAGCAGCCTGGCTGACTAGCATCCCTGAACCCTGAACATTTACAGAATTGGAGCAGATGCCTTACTGGGATGCCAAAGAAATCCAGGCTCAGGCGTTCTGTTACACTGAGTGTGAGGGTCAGGCATCACTCAGGGCTGGGCTGCCCAGCTCAGTCCTCTTCCCCATACAGTTGGGCTGTCTGGGGTCCAAAGAGGGTCAGGTCCTTGTCTTCTGGGCTGCCTGGTGGGCAGTGGAGTCTGGGTTCCACACAGTCCCCGCCTGCTCCGAGTGGAGCTTGCAAGAGACGGGGGCCTGGGAAGGAAGTGACTGGGACCAGGCTTCCTGCCTCTGGCTGAATAGTGTTGCCCCTGTTCTCACTCCTTCCCCCCATCCTTGGGGGCTCCTTTCTGTGTGTGCCCCTAGACAGTGATTCCGGCCTGCCTTTCTTCTGGGTTCCTGCGCTCCCCAGCGTGGCTTTTAGGGCAGTCCGTGCCTGGGCCTGGGCTGGGGCTTGGGTTCTGGCTCTGGGGCTGGCATAAAGATGATGGCGGTCTTATGTATGGTGGGGCCCTCTGTTCCCATGCCTCAGTTTTCCCATCTGGACAGTGGGTACTGGGCCACGCCAATGGTTCCTGACCTGCGGAGCCCCTTTCCTCTCATCTTTGTACCCAAACAGCCTCTCCTGAGCAGTGCCTGCATCAGATAGAGCTCTGGGGTCACCTGCGGAGAAGCCCATCTTTTTGGCTTGGACGGTCTGGCCAGTAGGCACATGTGGGGAAGAGGTGTGATGCCAGCCTGATGTGGGGCAGAGCAGAAGCACTGTATGGGGGGGCTCTGGAGGCCAGGAGGTGGGACCTGAGGGTACGGGGTCTGCAACTTGACTATGTGTTCATTTTGCAGGTGACTTTGACACTGAGGCTGGAGCTGTGTCCCCCTCAGAGCCCACTGTGGCCAGATATGAGCCAGAGAAACTTGCCCTGGCTCGGAAGTCACCGGCCCCCAAGGTCAGGAAGCCAGGGAGGAAGCCACCAAGCCCTGGCCCAGAGAAAGCAGAGGAAGCTGCTGCGAAAGAGTCCTGTGGTGCCTCCGCTACCCCTCCTGCCAGCACCAGCCCACCTGGCCGCACGCTGAAGGCCCGCTTCCGCAGTCTGCTGGAGACCACCTGGCTCAATGGGCTGGCCCTGCCTACCTGGGGCCACAAGGCCTCAAGACCAGACCGGCCTTCGCCCCACCTACAGCTGCTGGACAGCCAGAACCCTCACCTGTAGCGCTGGTTGCCGGTGCCGTGTGTACGGCGGTCACTCTCCAGCCTTCCTTCTGCCTGCCCAGCTGCCTGGGCCAGGAGTGGATGCTGCGGCCATGGCTGCTCTCCTGGATGGGGTCCAGTTCTGACCCTGGGGCCCACCCAGGGTGGGCTGAGAGCCCCTGAGCTTTTCATGTGAGGGTCTTTATTGGAAGGAGTCCTTCCTGTTTCTCCCTAGAGAACACACACATGGGCTCCAGACAGGCCTGGGCTTGAAACCCGGCTCGTGTTCTTGCTGCGTGACCTGGGCAAGACACGTCACACAGCAGAGGGCTCTATTGAGCCCTCATTCCCCACGTGGAAAATGGGAGAACGCCACCTTTCTCACAGGGTTGTCGTGGGGATACTGCCTGACACGTACTCCGTCACGGGTTGGTCTCTGCTTCCTCCCTGGGATGGCGGAGAATCGGAGCCAGAGAACCTTCCTATAGAAAGTCTTCGTGTGTTCTAGGACGTGGCTGTCGAAGAGTGGTGCCTTATGGAGTGGATGTGACTCACACCTTTAGGATTCACCCCCAGCACCTGGGGTTGGGTTGGCCCCAGCCCTCCAGCCTGGAGCTCCCTGAGGGAGCCTGCACTGCCCACTCCCAATCCCCAGTGATGGTGCAGGGATGCAGCCTGGAGCTGGTGTCCTTGTTCTGGGGCTGCCACTGCCACCCCAGGAGGCCCCAGGCCTGTCCTGAATCGATGTCAGTGCTTCCCTGAACTGCCTCCCCCACCCCAGGCATTCTCCCAGGAAACTTGCGTTTTCTAGGAGCGAAGCAGCTGCTGGGATTCAGGGACTGGTGCAGGCAGGCTGAGTGGCAGCTCAGGCTCAGAAGGCCTCTGATCGTCTGGACTGAGGACCCTGCTGCTCCCCAAGCCAGAACCCATCAGCCAGGCCCACTGGCAGCCACCTGCCTTCGGAGGGCTGAGTTGAGCCAGAGGCTGGCAAGCTCTGGATCTTATTTAAGGGATGTTGATGAGCCTCTGGGCCTTCGAGGCAGCCATTAAAGCACCTGGCTTGTGTTTGGAAGTGGGGCCTGGCTGTGTGTGGGGTGGTGACTTTCATGTTCATCACTGTGTACCTACCCCTTGCTCTCAGGCTGCTCTCCCTGCTCCCAGTCCAGAAGGTGCTGAGCACCTGCTCCAGCAAGTGGCCAGCTCTGGCTCTGTGGGCCCCTCTCCCGTGCATACTTGCTCCAGGAAAGCTCTCCCTCCTGGGACCCCATGGGTCCTGGTGGTGGTGGGTCGGTGGCTTACTGCCTGTTGAGAAATGCTGGTCACTAGACCCCAGCACATGCCCCTCTCCCAGGGCTAAGCATGCCCTTCACCGTCTGTGTGGAACTCCCAACCTCCCCATTGCTGGTGACCATGCGGCCCACTGTCATCAGCTTGGGTGAGTGGTGGGTGGGTTCCTGGGCCCACCCTCAAAGAGACCCTACCCCAGCTGGGCTCAATTTCCTCAAAGGCTTGTTCTCAGGGCAGCTAAGGTAGCTTCCTGGGCCGGTCTTCCCCCTCCACCTGGGCCTGGGGCCAGTCCATTGGGTCATTGTTAGACTTGTGTGGCATCCTGGTGGTGGGGCCCAGCTGCGCCATCCCTCCTGCAGCAGCCTGGCCTGACACTAGGCTGGGATTTGGAGTGGCAGCTGCCATTGTCCCCTTATACTGTTCATACTGGTCTAGGAAGAGTCCTGGGCTGTGGAGGGGACAGGTAAGCACAACACATTGGCCACTGCAGTGTCAACCTGGGGGAGGGTCCTTGGGACCCAGAAGAGGTTTCTAAACGGGACCTTGAAGACAATTAGGAAGTCGTGCAAAGTGGGGTCTGGGTGGTTAGAACCGTGCATGCAGAGTCTTGATGAGTTTGTTGCAGGGAAATCCCCAGGCGGGGCTGAGAAGCCTGGCTAGAAATCAAGCAACCCGTAAACTCAGTCCCACAACCTGAGGAATGGCGGGGTGAGCCACGAGGGATCATGTGAGGCTACCCCTACAGGGATGGAAGAATTGCAGTGGAGGTGGAGTTTCTGAATCCGGGGCTCCCCCAGGCCCTGGGCAGACATGGGTGCCTCATCAGCTCTGTCAGTCTGTCTCATGGCCAGCGCATGACTGGAGTAGGCGCTTTCTTTTTCCTTAGATCCTTCCTCTTCCCTCCGCCTTCTCCTCCCTCCTCCCTCCCTCTCTTGCTGCACACCTGTGGCCCTGCTGCTTGCCTGACACACATCACCTATATTTTGGCCACTGTCTTTTATTTTTGCGACGGAGTTTCGCTCTTGTTACCCAGGCTGGAGTGCAATGGCGCGATCTCGGCTCACCGCAACCTCTGCCTCCTGGGTTCAGACAATTCTGCCTCAGCCTCCTGAGTAGCTGGTATTACAGGCAGGCGCCACCGTGCCCAGCTAATTTTTGTATTTTTAGTAGAGACGGGGTTTCACCATGTTGACCAGGATGGTCTCGATCTCTTGACCTCGTGATCTGCCCGCCTCAGCCTCCCAAAGTGCTGGGATTACAGGCTTGAGCCACTGCGCCCGGCCATGGCCACTGTCTTGAATGGAGGAGCAACCTCCCTTGAGGGAGTGTGTCCTGGGCTGTCCACCTCCTACTGACGGGACATAAGGTCACTCCCACACCCCTTAGAGTTCTCTGTGAGCTCAATGGAGCCCTCACCTCTCCCACAGAGACTCCTGAGAGTCCCAGATGGCAGCCTCAAGAAGTCTCCAGGGCAAAGGGTATTGCATGGGCTGAGGACCAGGAGAGGGACTCCTGGGGTTGAGGGTGGGGACCCAGCAGGCCCCAAGGAGTGTGTGGGGAAGACGAGACCAAAGTCAGCACTTAATTAACCCAGAGTGTCCCAAGGGTGGGGGTGGGGAGGGACCACACCCCAAATCTCTACAACTCTTCTCACAGCATTGCTGTCGAGTGAGAACGGGGCTTTCAGAGTGTCCCAAGGGTGGGGGTGGGGAGGGACCACACCCCAAATCTCTACAACTCTTCTCACAGCATTGCTGTCGAGTGAGAACGGGGCTTTCACCGTCATAGGGGGCTCTGTCCACCAAGGCCCCTGACTGCCAGGGAGCCCACACCCACAGTGCCCTTCTTTCTGAATGCTGGCCCTTCCACAGCCTGGATGCTTAAGCCTGGGCAGAGGGATAACGACCCCTGGACTGTCTTCACAAGCAGAGAGGCTACTTGTCGTCAGGCCCTGACTCTTCGGGCTGAGCTCAGCAGCAGGCCTCTCTCTCACCAAGACCCCCTGGACAGAAGGGGCTCAGCCCTGAGGACCCAGCACTCCCCACACTTGCATGTCCCTGCTGGGCATCCACCCTGGGGACCCACTTTTCCCCTGCTCCCAGCTGCTGGCAGCCCCATCTTGACTTTTCTGGGATCCCTGAGGCCACACCAGGAAGCAGCGGGCAGCTGGGAGGCACACCTGCTGTTTCTGCATCTTTTTTTCTGGAGCTTATGTGGGTGGGAGGGGCTACAGACGCCAGGGATCCTGCAGGCCACGCCTCCCACTCCCTGGCTGAATGAGCTTTCTTCTCAGGGGTCTGACTGGAAGGCTGGGACCGACCTGTCACAGAGGCAGGTCTGAGTAGTCCAGGCCCATTCCTACTCTCCAGCAGGGCCCCTTCTGTTCATTTGTGCAGCTGCCTTTGCCCAAAGCACCAGTGAAGTCTGCGCGGACTGTCCCTTGTTTCCAAGGGGAGTGTGGCTCCAGTCCTGGCCTGGAACTCAGATGCCTTAGAATTAGAGGCCACATCTGGCAGGGTGGAGTAGCGTGGCCTGCTCATGGCCAGGGCAGGTACCACGTTGGCAGCCCCAGACCTGACACCATGGCTCCCATGTCACCTCTCCACTTCCGTCCAGCACATCACTTACACTACGTCTGCCCCTGATGAATCTGGACTGTCAGCTTCCCCAGCTTAGCCTGGAAGTCCCACTGACCCTAAGGAGAACAGTGCCTCCTGAGCTGGGGCTATGTGGGAATGGGCCTGGGGTGGGGTGGGGGAGGTCAGGGTGAGACAGGTGTCCAGCACCTCTCTGTTTATCTTCCCTTCTCTTTTGCCCACAAAAGAGGCATCTTCTCCATATCCCTCTGCCACCCCGAGGACATAAAATATTTCCCCCGTTATGTCTTCCCTTGGACATGGCCCACCTGCCTTCCTGTGGGACTCAGGGCTTTGTTTTGTCCTGTGGCCCACATGAGAAGCAATTATCCCTACTCTGCTCAGCTGAGAGAGTTAAACTGAGGCAGAGCAGGGGAACAACTCTGTCGTAGTCTGGATGTTAACAGCAGAGGCAAGAGCAGCCTTTCCTCGAGTGGTCGGGTCCGGTGGACACCAAGCGTGGAGGCTGTATCAGTCTGTTTTGGGTTGCTCCAGAGGAATACCTGAGACTAGATCATTCATTTCTTTTTTTCAAGTTTGGTAGGGCCACTAGGCTGAGGGTTGGAGCCCCGTCTCCTAGTCCCAGCCTGGGTCTCCATCACTGGCTGGCCGGCTCTGCTTGCTGCGTTCTCTCCACACCTGCCTCCTGCAGCCCAGGGGTCAGTCTGGGTGCAGACCTGGGAAAGGTCCAGGAGCAGATTCTGCCCCCCAGCTCTTACCTCCTGTGCACCAAGGCAGCCAAAATACAGCAGCAGAACCAGGAGCGCTGGCTTGTCCCAGTATCCCAGTGTTTTGGGAGGCTGAGGTGGAAACATCACTTGAGGGCAGCCTGGACAACATAGCAAGACCCTGTCTCTACAGATAATAAAATTGGGCATGGTGGCATGCACCTGTAGTCCCAGCTACTCAGGAGGCTGAGGTGGGAGGACTGCATGAACCCAGGAGGTCAAGGCTGCAGTGAGCTATGATTGCACCACTGCACTCCAGCCCAGGCAACAGAGCAAGACCCTGTCTCTAAAACAAGAAACAAAGTGCATCGTGTGTGGAATCCAGCTTCTGGCATGTGGACCTGACCTCACTCGGTCCCATCAGTGAGTGGGAGGCTGCCTGCTGTCTCCCAGAACATTCCCACCACTACACCTGTGTTTCTCCTGTGTTCCCTGGCAGGCTTTGTGAGGGGGCCTGTTACCTACCCTCTGGCTTCCCTAAGGCACAGCTCAAACCTTTCTTGCCACTGAGAACCTTCTCCTGAAGAGTCTTACCCTCACCCACAGACCTCCTCATTTCAGAGCTTTTGGTGGGGTGAGTACCAGGATTGACTCACTGCTACCAGCTGGGAGGAATTGTCCCTAGGGTTGGGTCTCTGGATGGCATGTGAGGATCTAGACGAGGACCCAGATGCCTGTTACCTGAAGGGCAAGGGCCTCGGCTGCCAGGGCTTCACACAGCCCCTCGTCCAGCCTGACCTTCTGGGACAGGCCAGACCCCTCCATCCTTTGGTCTTGGTCCCTACTGGGAACCCTGGTTTCCCTGGATTACCCACTTTGACTCCAAAGGTAATAATGCTGACATCCCCCGTGAGACCGTGACAGACTGAGACTATCGTAGGGTTGCCTGGCTCAGAGTCACCATAGCCAGGCAGAGCTGAGGTCCTGGCCCTGTTCAAGGCTTTCCGAAATCCCTTCTAGCTCTGGTACCTGGGTTCTTCCTCACCCAGCTTCAGCTTCTCCCACCCCTTCCACCAGGTGACAGAGAACCTGGCAGTCTGTGAGCCATAGAAGGCTTCAGTTTCCTTCTGGTGAGGGATGAGAACCAGCTTAGGGTGGGAGGGAAGAGGGGTCTGGGGGCCCTCCCAGCCCTGCCTCTGGCATTTGAAGGATGGTGGCTGGGCAGCAGCATGGTTTAGGCTAGACAAGGCAGCCCCTAGGTTTATAGCCAGGCCTCAGACAGTTGCTGCCATGTCACCTTCGCTTCTGCACATGCTGACCTGGCATCCCACCTAGTTAAAGGTCCTCAGGCCTCCCGCCCCTGGGCATTTCCCCTACTCCCAGCCCAGGCACAGCTGTCCTTGTCCTGGACTCATTTTCAGAGATGCTTGTCCAGCACACAGCTTTGCTGGATGTCGCAGGCTGGGCCGGGCCCCCTGCCCTGCACTAACCTCTTCGTGAGTCTCAACTAGACTGAGCCGCAGCTTCAGGGTCAGGACAGGCTCTGACTTAATTGATGTGACCCAGGACAAGGGGGTTACATCTGCTTGAGTTCTTGGCCTCTATGGTCTCTTTGGGGCATGATGCCCCTCTGTCCCATGCTTAGGTGCCCACATGTGGCCACAAGTGCCTTTCCTTCCAACATCCGTACTTCAGGCTGCTGTCCAGGCACCTGTGGCTCCAGGCAGAAGCGTGAGTGCAGAGCCAGGCCTGGGCTGACGTTCCACAGGTGCTGCAGGAGCTGGCAGCCTTGGCCACGCAGCCCATGGCCATCCATTCCCCTACACTGTGGCTGCCCCCAGTCCACCATCCTTCCAGGGCCAGGCCTGGAACCAAACTGACTTCTCTCTGGACCTGACAGGTTCTTGGCTGAGCATGATGGTCTTGCCCATTTCTTTGATTATCCTCAACAAGAGGTTTATAGAGCCATTGGGAACATCACATCTGTCTACCACGTCCTCACCAGAGACATGACTGCCTTGGGCCAGGCCTGGGACAGTCAGGAGTTACACTTGCCTGTTGAAACCCAGATTCATTGGCTTCAATCTAGGCAATGGGCTGATGGGCAGCTGTCACTTCTCCTTTGCTTGGGGGAGGTAGGAGAGGAAGTTCAGGCAGGAGATCTGCTTGGCACCCACCTGTGCCTGTCTCACCTGGCTGCAGGTGCATTGGAGGCTGAACCCCTTTCTTGATCTACAGGTGTGGATTTCAGGTTTCCAATGGTTGTCAGGGTGTGCTCCAGTGCTCTCCTGGCCCTAGGGAACCCTGGGCTCCATGAGGCCTTGGCCTAGGCAGGATTGTTTCCCACACTTGTCATCTCCCCATACAGTCACTTCCCCAAACACTGGGCTGCAGGCTCTGGTATATGTAAAAGTTCAAAGGCAAAAGTCAGCCCTTCCGCTCTCCCCGAGTGGGTGGCCCCACCCCTCTCAGAGTGGGCGGGGACAGGAGTTGCAGGGGCAGCTTTCCTTGGGATGCCACAGGTCTCTCTGGAGCTGCCTAGCCACGCCTCCTTTCCTTTCATCTTTCTCATGACCAATGGGATTGGAGCATGAAGGCCACGCCCCTGTTCTACATTCTAGTGTGGCCCTGGTTACGCCTCCTCTGTCTCAGACACACAGCTGCCTGGTAGAGGAGTGGAGCTGCTTACCAGTGCTCCTTTGAATTGTGCTGATGTGGCCCCAACCCCACCTCCCTCCCCAACCCCACCTCCCTCCCCCACCCACCATGTCGATGTCAGAAGAAATTCGCAAGATGATAGCCTCGGCTAGGAAAAAGGTAACATGCACACAGATCCCCTCCGACAGCAAGACCGCTGCCAGAGTCCATAACACTTCTGAGACACACCAGACTGGGTTGGCCCCTAACCCCGGTTCCTCTGGGCTCCCCCTACCAATGTCTTGTCAGTCAGCCCCACCCCTTTAGCAAGGAGCCCAGCCCCTACCCTTGCCAATCACCCCAGGGTGACTTTGGATGTGTAACCCCTGAGGCTCCCCGCTCCCTACTTGGACCTCACCTTTTCCTGCCCCAAGCCTGACCTCCCTGAGCTCTGTGGGCTCCTGTCTCTAAGGACCTGGGTCTCCCAGCCCCCGCCCTCACCAGTCATTTCTGGGTGACTTTGGGCTGGTGACTCCTGGGAATCCCTGCTGCAGACTCTGCCCTCCCCTCCTCCTCCCCCAGGGTGGCCTCCCTGTGCTCTTTGGGCTGGCATCTCCAAGGACCTGGGTCCCAACCCTGCATCCCCCTCCCCCATCATGGAGCAGTGACTCAGGCATCTCGTGGGTGTGGTCCCCTCCCCCAGGAGGAGTGAGATGTAGTGATGTCACAGTCCCCCTAGGAACCATCATTCCTGCTACAAGACCAGCCTTTGATCTTACCGCCAGTCCCCTAAGCATTCTCATAGCATTTCTGGCTCCTCTGGTCCCAGCACACATTTCCAGCTGGTTGGGGAATGTGGACTATGGGACCTAGGAGTGAGAGGTTTCAGGCTACCCACTCCTTTAACATAGACCTTGACAGTGTGAAAAGCCTACACTTCCCTCGTGAGCTCAAAACATTGACAGTGTCTCTGGGTGGCAATGGGAGAATGGGTTTGGTTTGGTTTTCTCTCAGGCTTCTACTCTCCAGAGAGACTTTCATGTTACTTTCTGAGTTCTCCACCTCATCTTCAAATTCTCCATGGTTTTGGGACCAGACTGCCCTTCAGTCACTGGCCTCTGGAGTGAGATTTGCTCATTCTCTGTGGAACAGATCTTGGGAAATTGAAACTGACAGCTTGAATCTTCCTCAAATCATTGCAACTCAGGCTACTTTGAATGCCACGGGATAAACATGGGACATCTTTCTGAAGCATCAGTTTCTCTTGAGTCTCTAGAGAGAGCAAAAGCATTAATGTGCTTAGGGATGACAGTCACATAGGTTTCTAAGAGTATACCAGACCTCTCTCAATAAGACTTGGGTTGTCCTCCTTCTGATGAATTCCCAGATTTAACAAAAAGGCTGCCTTCTGCCATGAGGACACATTGATATAAAAGTGTGAGAGGTACTGGTGCTCTTCTTTTTTTTTTTTTTTCTGAGACGGAGTTTCGCTGTTGTTACCCAGACTGGAGTGCAATGGCACGATCTCGGCTCACCGCAACCTCTGCCTCCTGGGTTCAAGCAATTCTCCTGCCTCATCATCCCGAGTATCTGGGACTATAGGCGCGCACCACCATGCCCAGCTAATTTTTGTATTTTTAGTAGAGTGGGGGTTTCACCTTGTTGACCAGGATGGTCTCGATCTCTTGACCTTGTGATCCACCCTCCCAAAGTGCTGTGATTATAGGCATGAGCCACCGCTCCCGGCCAGTGGTGCTCATGTGAGGCTTTATGACGATAAACCACACAGCATACAGTTCCTGCCTACTTCATGTTGATTTTTCTACCTCTGCCTGTGGTTTTGGTCTCTGGCAGTTGCTGATTCGTGGCAAAACCCTAGAGCTTGGAGTCAGAGGAATGAGTTTAAGTTTTGGTATTACTTTCTCTCTTTTTTTCTTTTTTTTTTTTGTCATGACATCAATCCCTCTCAGTCACTAAGTGATTGTGACAATACCTTATAGAGTTGTTGGTGGCATTAAATCAGATGGTGTATAACAGTATTTGTAAAAACTGTAAAGTAGGTTGTGACTAGGGGTTTGTAGTTCTCATGGGCATTACTGCTCTTTTTCCCACAGTTAAAAGAATTTCAACAAAGAAACAGTCCTGCTGCTCCATCTCGAGTGAGAAGAAGAAAGAAAAGAAACAACAGTAGCCATGAGACATCCGCTTCTGATGGTTGCCAGTCACCATGCCATGTGAGTCTTGGCGGCCAGGCTTCTGGGGAAAAGGGGCCCAAGGGACAGTAGAGGGTAATTGTTAAGGTTGTGGAAGAACTTCTGGGTACTGGTTAGGAATTCTGGGTTTGAATCCCGCCTCTCCATCTGTGAGGGATATGATTTAGGGCAAGTTGCTTGAGCTTTTTGGGCCTCTCCTTTCACATCTGTGAAATAGAGGTGATATTGTCTGACTTCCATTTGTGAGGGTGAAATGAGATTCGTTATTGCTGTTGTTTTGTTAATCCCTAGTACATGGCCTGCTGTAAACACCCAGGACACCCAGGAAATGGTCCTTGCTATTTGGTTTTCCTCACTCCCAGTCTCAAGGGGGAAGCCAACCCAATGAGAACAGCCATTTGCTGTCGGGCTGTCCCTTTAAGAGTCACTGAAAGGGCCCCAGAGGGGGATGGTGGGAGATCAGAACCATGAGAGGAGCTGGCACAAAGGAGTTATGGGACAAAGGGTCTGAGGGAGGCAGAACAGAAAATGCTGCCAGCTGATGGGAAGAAAGGAAGTCAGAGGCTTGGACACTGAGGGGGACAGAACATCTCCATGTGCACTCTCATCTCTTGTAGTCAGCAGCAGGTGGTCACAAGGAGGGCACTGCACCGTGTGCCACCATGAAAGGTCCAGAGGTAAGAGGCCCTGAGCTGAGGTACAGTGACCCTGCAGGCCAGCCCTCCACCCTTCTCCCACAGTGGCAGCTGGGTGCCCCTCTGCCAGCCGAGACAGCCCCACACACCCCAACCCTAGTGATTGTTCTCTCTACCTCTCCCTCAATCCTCCTCCAACTCCTCTCTGCATGCACCTCAGAGCGCACACCAAGTACAAATAGCCCTGGACTCGAGCTCAGTCACAACTAGTGAACTGAGTAACACCATCGACTTATTGGTAAGAGTCCAGTGGGGTCCCCTGATTCCACGCTGCCAATCCTGGGCTCCAGTTTCCCCTTGGGGCTGCTGTGGGTGAATTGAAGGGCGCTATGGGGAGCCAGCACTGGACGCAGAGTTTGGAGGCCAAATGCCCGCCCTGCCCTTACCTGGCTGTGGCCTTGGCCAAGTCCTAGGTGGGGGACTGGGCACTTGGCCCTTGGACTGTGAAGGTACAGAAGAGTAGCTTTAGTATGTTACCATTTGTGTAGAGAGAGGAAACGTGTGTGTGTGTGTGTGTGTGTGCACATACTATGATAATATACATAAAACATGTCTGCAAGGATTTGTAAAAAACTCAGGTGAGAGCACAGGTGGCTGGGAGATACTTCCCTTCTGTACCTTCTAAGTTTTGGACTATGTGAATGTATCCTCCTTTCAAAATATGAGCAAAAGATTCATTTCCCCCTTCCCGTCTGTGCCTCCACACCCAGCAGAAAAAAAAATGGACTGAGAGAATCAGATGGACCTGGGTGTTCAAATCCCAGCTCTGTCTAAGTGATCTTAGTCAACCACCTAACCTCTAATACTCCATGTTTTCCATCTCCACAATAGAGGTAATGGTAGTAACCGCCCCTCATGGTGGTTGTGAGGTTAACTGGGACTGTCGCAGGCTACCTGGTGACGCACTCAATGAAGGTTCCAACAGCGGTAGTAACGACAGGAATAACAATAGGATATGATGTGACCTCTCTGGGCCTCTGTTAGCCAGCTGTAATGTGGCCTCTTTCCCTGTGCCTTCCAACTTTACTGAGGTCTTTTAAAATCCAGACCACGGGATTGGACGTGACTTGATCTTTACTGACCGAGTTGTGTGTTAAGCCCAGCCCTAGCCCTTTTAAGGGGCACTGTGTGGAATGGCCCAGGCTCTCCAGATTGAAGCTTCTCGCTCTTCCCCGTCCAGCCCTCGAGCCGCCGTGAAGCAGTCCTTGAGCAGCAGGTACAGCAGTTTCTACAGGAGCGGGAACTGCTAAAAGCGCAGGTGGCAGAGGTGAGACTATGCAGAGGGAGGGATGTGGAAGGAAGATGAGCCCAGGTGGCCAGGAGCAGGTGAGGACAGTGACAGCCCTTCCTAACTTCTGGGTCCATTCCTGCAGGTGACGGAGTGTCTTAAGAAAGCTCAGCTAGAAAGAGACGCTTACGCTCAACAACTCAAAACACAGAAGGCGCAGTGGCAGCAGAAAATCCTCACAATGGCAGGAGAAGTGAGAGCTGACCCTTCAGCCCCCACCTTAGATAGGTCACTGGATCTTTCTGGGCATCTGTAAAATGAGACTAGTCCAGCCAGGGGTGGTCACAGGACTGGGCTGTGTGGAGCTGGGGGCGGAGAGGGAGATGGTAGCCTGTCCAGCCACCAGCCCTTCTCCAGGGCCCTTTCCCGCTGTTCTTTGGGCAGATTGAAATATTCAAAATGGAGAAAAGTCAAGATGCAATGAAAATCGAGAAGCTGAAGGGGAGCCTTGCCCACCTACAAAACCTTCTGGGTAAGATGGGGCTGGCGTGACCCGGGAGCAGGACTGGCATCAGAGGGCTGTGGGGGTGGCTTAGAGTGCCCCAGGGAGGTGGGTGGCTGGAAGGGCTTTGAGGCAGAGGGAGAGAGGTCTGTGCTGGGAGATGGCATGTCTTGTCATCTCCATGGGCCTCAGTGTCCCCATCAGAAAGAGGGAGGGTGCCCGTCGTCAGCCACCCACAGTGCTCTCTATCTGAAAGTGGCTTGGAAGACTGGCTACCATTTGGGTGTGAGGAATCATTAGCAGTGAGGCCAGGTTTGGGGAGCTTGAGAGGAGCTGTGCACCCAGAAGAGTTTTTTCTTTTTTAGAATCGAGAGGCCCTTATTGTCTGCTTCCTTTCTCAGCTGAACCCCTGATCCTGAAGCACCGACAGGGCCCTCTGACTTGGAAAGAAAACCTAAAAACTGAGACCAAGTACCTGAGAGATGAGCCACGGGAACAGGAGAGACTGCAGGAGGCAAAAATGAGGCTCTCGGAGACGGAGGTGAGGCTGAGAGAACAGGAGAGGCTTCTTGAGCAGGAGGGGCTCCAGGAGCAAGAGGAGGAGCTGGTGTGTTGCCCACCTGGGGAGCCTGCCCTCCTCCCCAGCCCTCCAGTCCTTTGTTTTCCCACCTGTAAAATGTGAGAGTGTAGCCCTCCCATGAAATGGGCTTTCTAAAGGCACCTGGGAGCCAGAACCCTGCTCTGATGGCTGTGGGAGAAAGGAGACAATTTTTCTAACCTGCCTCCACCCTTCCTGGTGCCATGGGAGGCAGACACCAGTCTGGACATCATCATTCCAGCTCGAGGCATGGAGCCCCCTGGTCATAGGGCAAGAAACAGTGGTGTGAGAGACTCTTTATGCTGGGTGTGGTGGCTCACACCTGTAGTCCCATCACTTTGGGAGGCTGAGGCAGGGTTTGAGATCAGCCTGGCCAACATGGCGAAACCTCATCTCTACTAAAATTACAACAACCACAAAAACAGCAAAGCTGGATGTGATGGTGCACACCAGTAATCCCAGCTACTCAGGGGGCTGAGGCATGAGCATCGCTTGAGCCAGGGAGGTGGAGGTTGCGGTGAACTGAGTTTGCACCACGACTCTCCAGCCTGGGCCACAGAGTGACACTCTGTCACAAAACAAAACTAAAGTCTCCTTAGATCCAAACTGGATTCCGACCTTGATTCCACTGGTCACCATTCAACTGCTTTGCATCTCTATGTCTCTCTTTCTTTACCTTCCAAAGGAAGTCAGCATTTTCCCTGCGTGGGTGCTGAGGAATAAATGAGATGATTCGTAGAAAGCGTTAGGCATGTAGCACACTTGGCAGATGGTGATTGGCTCCCTCTGCTTTTCCAGCAGTCTGTGGCCTACAGTTTAAATGGTGGAAAGAAGGACGTGAGATTTGAGGCTGTGGAAGGAGACACGGGGTTCTAGGCAAGGGAGGCAGTCTCTTGGGCTGGAGCCAGGGGCCAGGCGCGTGGGCAGGCCACCTTCCTCTGTGGTCCCTCCCAGACCCCCTTATGCTCTTGGTTTCCCTGCCTTCTGATTCTTCTGGACCCTCATCCCTTCCGGGAGCCGGTGGTCAGACACCTTCGTGACTGACAGGTGCACCCTCTGAGGCCCCAAGGGAAGGGGCTGTGCTCCACCTCCCTGCCTCATTTGTCCTGTGTATGCCTCTACAAGAACCCTCACCTCTTGCCTTCAGGTGCCATTTCTGAACGCTGCTAAAGCCAGTGCCCAGGAGGAGCAGGCACGGCTCTGTGAGCAGCTCCAGAAACAACAGGTGTGCTGCCAGCACCAGGCTCAGCTGGGGGCCTCGGCCCTGAAGGAGCCAGAGGCAGCGGCCACAGCCACAGGGACTGGGAGCGAGTCTGGGTGTGGGGAGACCCAGCGGGCCCTGCAGGCAGCTCTTGACCAGCTGCAGGTGAGTGACTCCTGGCAGGGGCCAAGAAGGGTGGGGAAGGGGGCAGATTGCTCCCAAGATGTGACCCCATTATTTCGGCTCCAGAGAGACTTCATGGACATTTTGAAGGAGAATTCATACCTGAAGGAGCAGGTGGAAAAACTAGAGCTCGGATTCATTCAGCTCTCTGGAGAGAGAGACATGATAAGTGAGCAGGAGGCCAGGCAGGGCAGGGGGAGCTGCAGGGTGGTGGGAGGGGCCCCAGTGTCTGAGCCTGTCCTCCCACAGGAAAGTCCATCAAACCAAATGACCGTCAGAGGGCAGTGGCCAAAACCCAGCACCAGAAGAACGATGTTAGCATGCTGTCGCAGGCCGAGGAGGGGATGAAGGTAAGGTGTACAGCATCTCTGCAGGGGTGAGGGGGATAAGGGTGGGCGTGAGCATGGGTGCCGGCACCAGCATGGCAGCTGAGCACCCCTATCTCCAGGTAAAGCTGCTGGAGCTGCAGGGGCCAGTGATGCAGCTTATGATCGACCATGAGGTCGTCCAGCACCCTGCTAATGAGCCCACTCCAGGGGCCCCAGCCCCCCAGGAGCCTGGTGCTGCTGACAAGGATGGTGAGTAGAGCCCTCAGGCGGGGTGGGCAGGCAGGAGCAGGGGAGGCTGGCACTGCACTCATATCCCTGCCTCCCTCTCTCCAAAGAACTTTGTGAAGTGATCCTCACTGACAGCCTGCAGCCTGCAGGAGGGGGGGTACACCACAACCCCACTGCACAGCAGATGGCACATGGCTTTGTGAGCTGCAGGACAGCCAGCAACACCGACCCTTGGGCAGCAGTCCCTCCACGCCATGCTTTTACCAGGCTGTGGGCGAAGGAGCAGGTAAACATCACGATCAGCTAAGAGCTGGCCCAGAAGTTTACAAACAAACAAAGTTATAGGGTTAGTCTTCACGTTTACTTCATTTGAATGTTAGAGCCACTTAGGATGATTTGTGTTTCTAATCTATAGTTTATTTGTAAAAAGTTAAAGGAGAGTGGGTCTTCCTGTAGCTTTCACTGATGTTCACTTTGGCATTTTTTAGAATTTTTCATTTTTAATTTGATAATCATAGGTCATTAGCATGCCTATCGAGTTTGCCCTTATGTGGTGGGAGTTCAAACACACAAAGACCCACTATTGGCACAAAACTATCCTCGCTAGTTTGGAATAGGCTGCCATGGTTATTTAATGTTATTGAAGCATGTGTATTCATTATGGAATTCAGATACAATTTGCTTATGTTCTGCTATGATATTTGATCAAATCCTATTTACAGTGAGCTCTTAATTAGCTCAATATGTGCTTTTCCCTCACGTGCACACTGTTTATTTCTTTGTAAGGTGCTACTGTGGGTACTGACATTTAGAGTTGTTGAAAGGCCGAGAACCGGAAACAGCTTTTCTTCCATGTTCTGTGTATTGCAAATGGGAGTAATAACATTTTGGGGAGCTTTTAAAATCTCACAGAAGAGGAAAGCAGCCTGCTCTGGCTGGTATGTGCAGAATAGAGTAGTTCATTGGTTCCCATGCCAAGAATGAGCGCTGCGCTATGGTAGTTCTTTTAGGGTTTTTCTGTGCTCTGGGCTCATGAAGACACTGCATGATGAGCTGCAGCAGCTGTACTCTTTTTTATGACCTACAAAGAGATGATTTCTGAGGAATAAAAGGCTCCCATCTTTGATGGTGGTTGTGGAAAACCTTTCCTAGCTTAGAGCATTTACATCTATAATACATTGTAAAGTCAGAGATCATGTTACCTGTTTTAATCCCCTGACTCTAAGTCTCAGTACACAAAAGGGCACTGGTTGGCATTCTTCTTAATGTATTTAGTAAAGGTCATAAGAAATCCTTTAAGATAAAGTGTAATTTATATATATATACATATATATTATATACAGGAATGGAAATTTGTATCTTAGAATGGATAGGCACTAAATATTGATGACTGAACAGTTAATGTTTTAGGACACTTGGTATAGTGAGTGCCTTGCACACAGAAAAAGACCACGGATGAGATTATCCTTTGTATCATTTCACAGTTTTAAAAATTGCTATTGATTACAGTTCACATAGCAAGTTGCTGATAAAATGTCTGTTTTCATAAAACATCTCCAACAACAACAAAATCCTTTCAGAGTTTAAATGTCCAGAAAAAAAATAAAAATTTTAATAAAAAATTTAAAAAAGTTTAAATGTCCCTGGAACAGGCACACAGGGTGTAGTCAAGAATGAACTAGAGTGCAGGAAAGCCGTGTGACACCCGGCGTCCCTCTGTGTTCACGGAGCTTCTTTGAGGCGAGACTGACTTGACCGTCCAGACTTCTCTGGCTAATACCTATTCTTCAACCACCTTGGTTACTCTGACATAGGAATTGCCTTGTTTTTCTTCAACGAAAAGGACTTTAAGCAATCATCACAAACAAAAAAATACTAATCACAAACGTTATTATAAACTAATATATGTGAGAGTACTTGGCTGAAAAATAAGAGTTTCAGTAGACAGAATTGTACTATATTTGACAATCAAAGAGAAGTTTATGCAACGTAAAATGTTTATAGCCTGCAGTGCCATCTACTGTTTGTGAATGTCAATGTATTATCAGGAAAAGTGTCTAACAATCACAGAGTTCTATTTCCTCAGCAAGTTCTTTACCAAGAGAAAAATATGTTTTTATACCTTTTAGTCTCAGTTAGAGGCACATTTTGTTCAAGATTTATGTTAATGTGTCTCTGCATTATGAATGAATTCTTTCAGTCAGACATTGCATAAATCATAACTTTATGATGCTTGGGACAGAATCAACAGTTGAAACTTCATGAAGTTCTAATGTTCGTGTACCAAAATACCTCCCATTGTTAGGATGGAGGGAGATATGCATGTGTGCTCCCTGAAGGGGAGATTCCTAATTACTGACCATCTCCACGTTTAGCATTTGGTATCTTCATGATACTTTCATAAATATGACATCAATAGGAGAGCACTCATACAATTTGACAGATGGAATAACACATTTGCCTGCATTCCCTGAAAGAGTGCAAATATTGGGTCCTGGTGATTTGAACTGACTCTTCCAAATTGTAGGGATTTATCAATGTATCAGATAAACCCAGTTTCAGAACGATCAAGGAGAAACGTTAGACCAAATAATGCGGCTAATTAACAGTGGTATGATTTCTAGCCGGGGGGCTTAAAATGGACTTAAAATTCTGTTTTTTTATTTCTGAACTTGCCGCTTTTGCATTCTTTGAGTTCAGTTTAAAGACAGTTACTCTAAGTCCATTTTCAGCCCTCAGGCTAGAAATCGTACCACTGTTAATCAGCCACATTATTTGGTCTAACAGTTTTTCTTAATCATTCTGAAACTGGGTTTATCTAATACATTGATAAATTATTTCAAAGGGATTTTGATAGTTCAAATCACTTCACTTTTACCCTAAGAAAAACAAATGACTAGGAATGACCTTCAGATAGTGTTTAGCATCTGTACCCAATCTGATGATAATGTTCATCAGGTACCTGTGGAGTAAATCCCATACAGGCATGTTTAAGCTGAATGGCAGTCAGGAAAATACATTTACTATATTAACCGAAATATCACTCTGAGTAGGCATTTTGTCATCTATTTAAGACAAATCTAAAAGAACGGAAATCACATGACAGTGACTTAAGTCTTTCTTCAAAGTGCACGTGAGTCTCCTGCAGTACTTCATTCAGCCAAGTGTCTGTTCTCTTCCTCATTCAGTAGAAGGCAGCTTTCAATTGGCTTAGAAGGCAACATCAGAAGGTTAGCGTTCATCAAAAACACAGAATTTTAAAATGTGTGTTCAACTGACCAAATTTGAATTTCTGTAGGAAGAATCAAAATACCTGTTTAAAGACTGCAATATATGATAATCATTTTTAAAGGATTTTATTAAACCTGATAGGTTTTCCAGAAATGAATAAAACTCAGTTCTAAAACCAAAGCTGATTTTTAGAAAATTTGAAAATATAAATCAGTCCTATCCTGTTCACAATATAGTTTCTCTAAAACTTTATCTTAAAGAGTTATTTTAAAATAACTATTAAAAAAATAACTGGTCTCAATGTTTTGAAATTACTTAAAACATTTAAAAATATGAATATTGCAGTTTAGAAGAAATAGGGGGAAGGAAAAGTGAAGAAATGCCAATTCCAGTCCAAAGCTTTAGTTGCCAAGTTTCCTAAGAATGACTTTTACCACTGTATGAACTCCTGTGAACAGAATGTAAGATGGAAATCCTGAGCCTTTTGTCTAAAGCGGCAATACTGACTGCTGCTGTGATGCTCCTGTGATGTAATAAATTGTTCAGTTGCTGCAAAGCGCTGTTTTTGCCTTAAAATTTTGTGCATCTTGACAGCTATGGTATTAAAGGTATTGAGACTGCAAACGCTGGGCACACTTGGCATGAGATAATCTGTTTTTATTTTTACAAAATTGTAATATAACTATGCAAGTGTGTTTATTAAAAGAACACAAACTACTAAACGTTATGGGATTAAAAGTTACGAGATAAAAAAATCATCAGATAAAAAATGTGGAAAAGTTGTGGCAAAAAAATTTGTGGATAAAAAGTAGAAAAATTTTAGGAAAAGTATAAAATTTATGAAAAGGAAGTTATGAGATTTTAAAAATCATCATGGGGATAGAAATAAAAATAAATAAAAGCAGGCCCCTGTCAGCAAGGCCTGGAGAACAGTGGCTGGAGTCTCCGACCCCACCATGTCCCTCCAACCCCTTCCCAGTCACCCCTTTATTATTAGTGTAGCAAGACAAGACCCCTGTCTAATGGGGGGAGACAAACAGACCCTTTGCCACCTTGACCAGGGCTGAGTCCTTAAATCTCTGGATGATAATGGTTGTTGGTTGGTTTGGAGAAGGCCTGATGGCCTCCTTCCTCTCACCAAAGGAACTTTTCCCTCAGGGGGCTCCCATCTTATTCAGAGAGGCAACTGAGGCAGGACAGTGGCACTAACTGTGGACCAGGCAAGGGCACAGGCTGCTGGGGAATCCTCCCTTCTTCAGTGTACATATTGCATCTGTGTAAGATGTTGTATATTTTAGGGGTTTGTGGTGCCCCTTGTATCATACCTGGCAGAGGTTGGAGCTGGCACATGGAGGAGGATTTAATAATTATTTGCGGCTGGGAAACTTATTTATTGATAGCAGAGGACAGAGGAAGGAGGTGGGGATGGGGCCGTGGCTCCCTGGTGATGCAACTCCTGTTTATTTTGCTTTTTATTTTGGAATAAATGGATGTAGTCACACTGCTCGGCCTGGTGTATTTCCATTTCCCTCACTGGGTCCTGGAGTTTGTGCCACTGAACGAGGAGCCCCAGAGTGTCTGAGCATGTCCAGCTGGCCTGTTGGGAACCTTCCAGGCTTGTTACCTGTGTGCTGCGCGGTGACACCTGGGAGATTTCCTGGGGACTGCCATGGCACGTCCGGCCCTGACAGCCAGCAGGCTCTGAAGCCTGATCTAGTGGTGGCCAGGAAGGCAGGTACCAGCACCCAAGGGCACTGACTTGCATCCACTTCACGTGTCTTTCTTCCATTTCCGGCCTCCCTGTCCTCTCCGTGCCTGGTGGCCTGTTCTGTCTGTCCCTCCAGAGTGCCAGCTGCCGGGCAGGCTCCCTCCAGGCTGAGTTCATGGCTCTGTCCCCTAGTGGCCAGAGCCGGCTTCACAGGATAAGACCAGTTAAGCCCCAGGGGCTTTCCAGGAACAGTGCCCCTTGGAAAGGGTGGGGCCTTTTCACGGCTCCCAACAGCACCCCAGAAATGGCTTGGCCTTTCCCCTCCCATGAGCTCCACGGAGGACATATTCCCCGTCATCCAGAAATGGGTTTGACTCTCCGCGGAGGGACAGCAGGACTGGTAGAGACTGTCAGGCCACAGAGCTGCCTGCACAGCACCTCCATGCTTAGCAGAGGTGGGAGGGATGGCGGGGCCTGGGCAACAGGGAGGCTCACTGGAGGTGGTGCACTTTGGAGGGGCAATGTCAGGGGACAGCTTTCTCTTGTTGGGCCACAAGACTCCACAAGGACAGCCCGGTGACTGACTCCCAGTGCCAGAGGCGAGGCAGTCAGCGATATGTAGGTGTGTATATATATGTGAGTGTTTATAGATACTTCTAGAACAGGGCAGGGGCGTGCCACAGAGGGGGACGGTCACACCTGGATATGTCACCTCACTGCTACAAAAGACTAAGTCACAGATGAAGGGGGCTGGCTTTGGGGCTGGGGGAGTCACAGAACAGCCGCCCAGGCAGGCTTGGAAAGGGAGGTCTCCGACAGGAGGGGGGATCTGTGTAGAGGTCGAAGGGGGACCTGGGGCTCTCAGGATGGGATGGACTTCCGTGTCCCAATCGGCTGGCAGTTGCAGAGAAAACAGAGGGGAAACAGGAGAGAGAAAAGCTAGGAGAGAGCTGGTGAGGTAAGCGCAGAGCAGGGGCGCTGCAGCAGCTAGGGTAGGGCTGGGCAGGGGAGGGCGCAGGTGCAGGTGTGGCAAGGTTCCTGGAAAGGGGCTGGAAGGGAAAGGGAAGGAAGAAGGAGGAAGGAGCCGGAGCTTCACAGGTAGTGCCCGGGGGCTGCGGTGGCCCTCCCCATCCAAACACACTGGCCTCTCCCACGGCACCCAGGCAGTGCACCCACAATTTAGACCCATGTTCACCACCCTTGGGCTGCCCTCTTCCCTGGTCACCCTGTCTTCTAACCCACTGGCCCCGGGCCACCCCTCACCTTGGGGAGCCCCACACAACAGCCACCAGACCTGATTGAGAAGGAACATTGCCTGAAACAGGAGGGTGAAGCTGAAAGGCCTGGATGGCTGGAGGGAGCACCCGAGGGCCTTCTGGGGGATCAGAAAGCCCAGGACCCTCTGAAGGGATGGACCCTGGGGAGACAGGGAGGGCAGGCAGCCGGATGCCACTAGTCATAGACTTATAAGTGTAAGTGGGGAGCCTCAGCTGTTTGGGGGGCTGCAGGTCTCATAGGTGAGGCTGGGCTCTTCCTTCGGGGAAAAGCAGATGAGAGAGAGCCTGTGGCGGTGGGTGGGGATGTGGGGGGATAGGTAGATTGGGGGTAGCTGGACTTACTGGGCAGAGCTCAGCCAAGCCAGCAGGCACTGTGGTCCCTTGGCTGAATAGCATAGGCGGTGAGCCTGTTCGCTGGTGGTAGTGCTTTAGTGGGGGCACACTAGCAGCTTCAATCACACACTAGCAGCTATGATGGTACCTGGGAGGGAGGGGAGGAGGCTGTGTGTCCTGCCTGGCCTGTGAGGTGTGTGGTGGGATGACCGTGTATATGGGACTCTCAGGCTTTTATCCTAGATCACCACTGGATTGCCAACAGATAGAGGAGGTGAGACTCTGTCACTCCTGCTCTGCAATGGATTTGGCTCTCGGCACTCCCAGGCTGGGAGCTGGATGCCCTGGCTGGCAGCATGACTCACACTGCAGGACAGGTACAGCGGGCCCAGGACGACGTTCCTAGGCCTCTGGCTGCCTCAGAGTCCAGCCTCGCACACACACACAAACCCCTTCAAGCTCCCAGACCCTACCCATACACCATGAGATCTCTGCCCTCTCTGATAGCTCCAGAGAGCACCCACGTCTGCCACCTTGGGCATGGAGCCTGTTCCAAGAACCCCCACCCAGGCTCAGCCATGAAGGCTGGGGGCTTTAAGGCCATGGGGGCTGGCCTGGTACCTGCCTCCAGCTGGGACGTTCTGCAGCTGCAGCCAGGAGTCTTCCATGGGCCCCCATGGGCGTGTTGACAGTGGTGGTGTTGATGTCACCGATGAGGCTCCCTCAGCACGTGGTGCATGCACAGCATCTCAACTCGCCACTGTGCCTGCTCTGCAGGCTCCTCTATCAGCTTTTCTGGCCCTCTTGCAAGTACAGGTTGGCCAGTAGCTCTGAGAAGATGAACTCCTTGGTCTGAGAGTGGGCAAAGAGGGACCGAAGTTTGGACCTGATGCCTGGCCGCCCCCTGGGACCTGCTGGGACTGTGTGCTGGACTTTGAGCTCCAGGTATGGCTTTCAGACGTGGCTTCTCCACTGCTTGGAGTCGAAGATCTGCCTCGCACTGCCTTTTCTCACTCAGAGGGGGACAGTGAGGGCCAGAGGAGAAGTCACCTGTCCAAGGTTATAGATCTGGCAGGGACCTAGGACCTATCATGCCACCAGGACACCTGGCTCTTCAGTGTTCTAAAGTTTTTTGTGGAGATAGGATCTGGCTCTGTTTCCAGACTGGAGTACAGTGGGTGAGATCACTGCTCATTGCAGCCTCAGCCTCCTGGGCTCAAAGTGATCCTCCAAAGTCAACCTGTTGAGTAGCTAGGACTACAGCAATGTGCCATCACCAAGCCCAGCTGTTTTTAACATTTTTGTGTAGATACCAAATCTCACTATGTTGCCCAAGCTAGTCGCAAACTCCTGGGCTCAAGCGATCCTCCTGCCTTGGCCTCCCATAGCGCTGGGATTACAGGCATGGGCCACTGTGCACAGTCCCATGCTACATTTCTATAGGACAGCTCTGGTCTAGACCATGCCTCCCTCCCTGGACCTGGTCCCATAGGGCTGGTTGGCATCTCCCGCAGGCCAACATGGCCACCTGGGTCTCCAGTCCTACAGGAGCCCCCTGCCCCCATGAGGCGGTGCATGCACATTTTGATCTTGAGGTGCACGGTGGTCTTGGGAATGAGACCAACCATGAGGTCCCACACCGTCTTGTTGACAATGGCCATATAGGAGTTCACCGGGTTCTGGGTGGTCTCCATTTACTGCTCCAGTTGTGGGTCCATGGAACACACGAAGCTGTTGGAGCCTTCTCCTCGGCCTTGCTGGCCTGTCATGGAGAACACAAGGGCATCAGGGTGGCCAGGCCATGCAGCCAGGCTCCAGGAGTCCCCAGGATCTCAGCCCCTGCAAGGGTACCTGGAACACTGAGACACAGAGAGAAGCAACTGGCCTGAACACACACCCAGCTCCCCACACGCTCCAGAGGGATCCAGGTCTCTCCTCTCAGGACCCCAGACTCCCCTGATTCAGCCTCGCCTAATTCTGACTCTAATGCCTAGAATTTGCCTCATTTTCTCAATCCAGAAATTGGAAAAGAACATCTCCAGGTCCCTTGCTTGAAGACCTGGCTGGGGCTGCTGCCAGGCTGCAGATACCTGGCAGGAGGCAAGAGAAGGGCACAGTCGCTTTACCCTTGTCCTGGGAGGCCCACACACCAATATTGCCACTGCCACTGCCACCAGGGGGCACAGCCGATGTAGACAGGCACAGAGAGGAAACGGGGAAGGGTGGAGTGAAGCTGGGACAGTGCACCCCAACTTGAATGTGTGGTTGAATTCAATTTGCTAATATTTTGTTGAGGATTTCTGCATCAATATTCATCAATGATTTTGGTCTGTAGTTTTGATTTTTGGATGTGTCTTTGGTTTTGGTATCAGGGTAATACTAGCCTTGTAGAATGAGTTTGGAAGTGTTCCATCCTTGTCTATTTTTGGCATAGTCTGGGTAAAATTGATGTTCGTTCTTTAAATACTTGGTAGAATTCAGCAGAGAAGCCATCAGGTCCCAGGCTTTTCTTTGCTGGGAGGCTTTTTATAGCGCTTCGATCTCATTATTTGTCATTGGTCTGTTCAGGTTTTGGATTTCATCGTGGTTCAATCCTGGTAGGTTTAAATTGATCTAGACCATTTTAAATGGTCTAGAAATTTATCAATTTTTATAAGTTTTCCAATTTCGTTGCATATTGTTGCTTATAACAGCCACCAGAGCTCCTTTGAATTTTTGCGGTATCACTTGTAAAGTTTCCTTTTTCACCTTTCATTTTATTTACTTGGGTCTGCCCTGTGTCTTTCTTAGTCTTACGCTAAACGTTTGTCAGTGTTGTTTATCTTTTCCAAAAACAAACTTTGTATTTCGTTGATGCTTTGAATTGTTTTCTTCATTCCAATTCCATTTATTTCTGCTCTGCTCTTTATTCTTCTACTAATTTTGGGCTTGGTTCGCTCTTGCTGTTCTAGTTCTTTACTATGTACTGTTAGGTTGTGTATCTACCTTTGAAAAGCAGGTGTCTATGGCCATAAACTTCCGTCTTATACTGCTTTCGTTGTACCCTACAGGCTTTGGTGTGTTGTTTCCATTAAAGTAGTGGCTTTAAAGTAACTATATACACACATGAAAGCATTGAAATATCAACACCTGCGATGAAGAAAGAATTGAGAAATAATGTTTAGCGTAAGTATGTCCTAAACACGCATGGTACATACTTACTAAAAAATTATCCATTTGTTATCGGAATCTAAATTTCACTGGGCGGCCTATATTGTATCTGGCATCTCTACTGTAAGGTTTGAATGAGGCAACTGAGGCCAGTTATTGAAATAAAGAAATTTAATTGGCTCCTGGGCGAGGTTCTAGGGTCCGGGGAAAGGGGGCCAGAGAAGTCACGCTGACTTCCTGGGGCAGGGTGGGGTTTTTATGGCTGTGAGCAACTAGAAATAGCTGCGTGCTCCGATTGGCTCCAGGGAAGCGGGATTGGGACGGAACGGGCCGCCATTAGTTGGTGGGTTGCTGGTCGGGTTTTCCCGTGCGAGAGCCGGCCAGGGTTGCATCAGCCAGAGCCTTCCAGGGGAGCCGTGCCACAGAGTCGGGTGCGAGTCAGGTGCTGAGTACAGAGGTGGGTGTGTCCGGCCTCCCAGCGAGGAGGCCTCCCATCTACCTCAAAGCCAAGCAGGAGAGAGTCTGCAGTCCTATCTTCCAGCGGACGCCCTAGCCCAGGACAGGGCCTGGCCAGGGGCAATCGTGCAAGGCACGGATTAGAGATGCCATTCAGTGTGCCAAAGGTGTCGCCAGACCTGCGTGCAATCAATATTATTCATGTTTTTCTCTAAGGCACCTTTAAAAATATTAACCTTTTATTTGGAAATCCAGATTCAGAGGAAATTTCAAAGACGGTACATAGAGGGTTCAAGTACTCGTCACTCAGTTTCCTCCAAAGGTTCTATTTTGTGTAAGTGTAGAACACGATCCAACAATATCACGTGCCTAGGTCTGTGCCATTTTATCACATATGTAGACTCCTTTAACCACCGCTACAATCAAGATACAGAACTGCTTCGCCACCACGGAAAAATCCCCCTCCTGCTATTCCTCTGCACGCGCCGCCACCTCCGGCTAATTTTTGTAATTTTGGGGAAGGGACCCAGTTTTGAATTAGCTCCTGCTGTTTACTTCGGTTAGCGTGGTGGAGCTGGCAGAGATGTGAGGGATACTAAACACCCCCAGAAGTCACGCCGTGGGACCCCGTTTCAGGGCGAGCAGCTGGCGTAGGACTCGAGGGGCAGCCGCGGCTCGGGCGGAGGGCTCCCCAGCGACAGCTCTCCGCGTCCGTGGAGGGCCCAGCCCCGCGAGGAGGAGTGTATGGTCTGGGCCGCGGCTCTCGCGCGCGCGCTGGGGCGGTGCTAGGGAAACCCTTGGAGCCCCGCCCAGCGGTCCTGAGGAGGGGGCGGTGCCTGGAGGGTTGGTCCGTCCCGGCTGCGGGTTTCTAGTCCTGGCGTGGCGTGGGGACAATTAGGCGCCACGCCCTGTCACTTTGCTGCGCGACGGTCGGGAGGCCGGGGACGGAAGCGTCACCCCTAGACTGGGCAGGGCGCGCAAGCTCACAGTGAGGTCTCTCAAAAGATCCACCTCGGTTTTCTCATCTGGAAAGTGGGGCCTCCTAATCCTCCCCATCCCCGTGCGGGCCAATAGGTGTCCGGGGTTTGGTGACCCCACGCTGGAGGCCTCTGCAAAAGGGGACTGTCCAGTGACCCGGAGACGGGGCCCGCGGGGGAAGTCTTCAACTGAGAGGCCACGCAGGCTGGCAGGAAGCCGCTCCACTCCAGGGGGCTCCAGGAGAGGGGACCTCCTTCCCCGAGACCCCGGCCCCTCAGGCAGGCTCCGCCAGAGTGGCTCTCGGGTGCTTTCCCAGAAAGTGCGGGGCGGGCCGCCACGGCTTTCAAAAAACCGGCACACAGCGAGAGACAATAATGAGTCGTTCTCTTGTTTCGCGCAAGCAGAGTCGCGTCCGCTTTGCCGAGGCCCCGCTCACAGACCTCAGAGGGCTCTCAGGCTCTCCCGGGCTCCGAGAACAATGCCTGTCCTCTCCGCGCGCAGGAGGGAGTTAGCTGACCACGCGGGGTCGGGGCAGCAGAGCCGGCCGAGTCCCGCGGCCGGGTCGGGGCCGTACTTTTCAGCTTCGAGCGCCTCTCTGACCCGGGCCGCACACCTGTTAGGTCCGGGGACCTACGTGCGCCGCGACACGGCGGGAGGCGAGCCTCACCGCGCCGGCCCCCTCGGCCCTCCCGGAACTAGTCTCCGAGGCCGCGGCGTCCACCGGAGCGGAGAGCGCTGGTGCCCCGGAGCCTTCGAGTCGGGGGCTAGAGCGGCCAGGCCTCCGAGCCGGGTTGGGCCCGGGAAGGCGACGGCTGCGTCACGCGAGGGGGCGGGGCCGCCACGGGCGGAGGTCGGAGCCGGAAGCGGAAGAGGCGCTCGGAGCGGGGAGTGGGGCCTAGCAGCAGCTGGAGCCTGGAAGACGGTAAGTGTGGGCTGGGGCCCGGGGCGGCAACAGCGGCGGCGGCGGCTGGGGGTGAGTCGGCGGGGCGGGCGCGCTGGTGCTATTCGTCTCGGCCTACACCCTTTCTTTCTCCTCTTCGGCCCACTTTGGGCCGCGGCCCCGACCTCTCACCCCTGACCCGCCGCTTCTCCACCGGAGGGCGGTCACTGCAGACCCTGACCTGGATCCCGCGGTTTTGAAGGCGGGGCCTAAGCGGCCTCTGAGGCTCCTTAAGGGTTCAGTTTGGGCCCTGCGCCTGCCCGCGGAATGGGGTCGGGGTCCGAGGTGGAATAGCCAGAGAGGCCCTTCAGACCCCTCCCCTCCCCTGGCTTCGCGCTTGGTCCTCAGACGACTCCTCTCTTGGCGGCCTGGAGTTTGATTCTGGCCCAGTCTGGCCCTCCCTCTGCCTCCGGGTCTGTACCCGGCTCTCCCCTCGGCGCCACTGGTGGCCGTTACAGAGGGTGGGACTCTGAGACCCCTGGGACCTGGGGCGGCAGGAAGGGAAGCGAACGAGGGCGCAGGCCCCCCTGCGTATTTTGTTGTGGTGATGGAGCCGTTCCAGTCCGGGGGATGGGCAAGGCCAAGCTGACGGTACAAATCCCTTGGCTGCACCTCCGTCCCGCCCGGGAGTCTCTGGCTTTAGTTCCGGGTATGAGTGCCCTGATGTGGAGCTGAGGTGGAAATTGCCTGAACCAGGTCCCCATCGAGGCGGAGTTGGCGGCCTTCCAGCTTCCCTCCTTGATGCCCTTGAAAAGGAGGAGCGTTTCACCCGTTGGTGGTGGAGGCTTGCGAAGTGGCAGGTTTGAGGTTGCAGGGGTAGGACAGTGCCAGCCAAAAATAACCACGGGTGCTGGGGTGGCTGGAATCCGGGAGGGCAGCCGCTGACCTGGCTGGCTGCTCTTCTCGTCAGCCCAGTTCTCTGGCCAGGAACAGCAAATGAGAAGCTGACAAGGCCTGTGCTCAAAGAAAAGTTGACATCCTTGGCTTGGTTTCCTTTGCATCACTTTTTTCTTCATTGTGCAGAGCAGAGCTTCCCAAAGCATAATTGTGGCCTTTAGCTACTTTTTTAACAAGCTTTTTGCTGAGATTTTAGAGAATCGGAGATAATTGAGAAATGGGCCATAGAGCCCTGGCTGGGAGGATGACATCTACTATTTCCAATATTTTACTTGCCTAGAATGTGTTAAAGGAAGGATAATCTTCTCTATTATTGCTTTGTGTGTGGTCTTTTATAATTCTCATACTTGTCATCTTTGCCAGGCTGGGAGATGTTACCTCCATTTTCCAGGCATTCTAATCGAGGCCTAGAGTGACTTGTCTAAAGTCATGAGGCTGGTATGTGGCAGCCCTCGATTTTAGTTGAGAGTTTATTGGCAGAGCTCTCTCCTCCCGGCTTCCTTGGAAGGGACTTACAAAATGTCTGTAAGGCATTTAACACAGTCCCGAAGTGTTACCCGGAACCTTTTAAGTGTTCATGAAAAGCTGCCACTAGTACCTCTGTGGGCATAAAGCTGTACTAGGCATTTCACTTATGGGACAGACATAATTAATCCTCACAGAACCTCGTAAGAGGTTACTTTTCCCTGTTGCCAGAGGAAGTTGATGGTCAGAGTAGTGTAATAATTTGCTGAAAGGCACACAGCTAGAAGTGGCATGCCATGATTCAGGGGGACATCTATATGACTCTGAAATTGTGCTCTCCATTGACGTGAATATGTGTAGACATTAGAACTTTCTAGGTCCCAGGAGGGAATCTTTGGCCTGGTGTGACTGTGACCATGTCCTTCAGCTCTGGTGTCTGCCCATTGAGGATGGGCAGGACCATGCTTGCCTTGTGGCAGGACATGTGCCCTGGCCAGTGGAGCATCCTCTGGGTCAATTAATGAGGTGTGAGTTAAGCTTTCATTCCATAGCTTGGGCACCTGACCCAGAATAATTGCAGGAAAACAGCGAAACATTAGTCAGCTGATTACCAAAACAACAAATCTGAGCTTCAGGGGAGGTGATTTTAGCTCCAAAGATTTCCCAGGAAGATGGGGAAGATATGTTGGTGGGGAGATGGAGAGCTTTCTTAGGGACACGGAGAAGCTCCCAGGGGTTTGGTACGATAGGCCTCACCATTCTGCTCTTCTCCTGACAGACCCTGCTGGTGAGATAGGGTAGCCACAGTGGATTTGTACACAGTATGCTTGACCAGGTAAACTCAGGACTGACCATGACTGGAGATGGGCTGTGGCCAAGTGTGAGTGTTGGGAAGAAGGCTGGTCCCAGCAGTCAGGGGTTCACATATGGGTGGAGCAGGTTGCTGGCCTCACATAGCCAGCTTTCTCCGCTGATGGTGGATCCAACCTGGCAATTTCCTGTGGTGAATGTGAGTCCTCACTGAATAGGGGTAGTGAGTTGGGGCTCTTTTGCCTGCCAGACAGCTAACCCTCTGGCTGCTCCTGGGATAGGTATAAAGTAGGATACTGGAGCTGGGGAGCTAGAAGAAGGGACAGTAATGGTACAGTTGGATAAAGGCAAGGCACCTGGCAGGGCACTGCCGGAGTCTAAAGGGTGCTAAATGGCTCTCTGGCAAGAAAGTTGGGTACTCTGAGGACCCTGGCATCCTTCCCAGTGCTGAGACCCAGGATGAGCCAGGAAGGGCTGGACAGACCCCCTGGGTCCACGTCGACTCAGGAGGGCTAGGGAATGTTTATGAGGCCTGTGTGCCTCTTTCTCCAAGGGCTGCCCTTCTCATCTCTGCTGTGGCTCCTCACATTGACTTGTGGTCCTTGCTCCCTTGAGTGGGGTCCAGTTCAGGCCCTCAGCCAGACAGTCTTCAGCTTCTCAAACCTGAGGGCTTTGAGCCCTTGCCTCCTGGGTGTTGGCTCCATGCCAACAGCCCTTTGCCTGTCTTCTGGCTTTACAAAACATTTGTTCCATGGGACCCCCCAGGTGGGAGGGAATAGAGCACAGGAGGCTCCCCTTTCTCCTGCCTTTGATCTCCCTGTGGTAGTGTTCACTGTCCCGCCCAGGGTTCCTGCATTAGCCCCTGGCCCTGGCTCACCCAGTTCCCTGAGCACTCAGGCCACCAGGCCAGTGATGCTCTACTGGGAGGCAGCTGTTTGTTTGTTCACTGGTAGAGAAGGTTGTTGCCCATTGTCTGCTGTTTGACCAGTGTGACCTTAAGAGTTCTTCTTCATTTCATAAACCTCTGGGAGGGGCTGCCTCCAAACAGAACAATGGGCCTTTTCAGGAGCCACCGGGAAGCCCCATGTAGTCCCGTGGCTGGAGGTGGCTGGCTGTGTGTTTAGCAGGGCCTTCTGTTCCTTGTGGCCTAGATGCATCACTGTAAGCGATACCGCTCCCCTGAACCAGACCCGTACCTGAGCTACCGATGGAAGAGGAGGAGGTCCTACAGTCGGGAACATGAAGGGAGACTGCGATACCCATCCCGAAGGGAGCCTCCCCCACGGAGATCTCGGTCTAGAAGGTAAGGGGGAACTAGATAGGAGGGAAAGTCTCCTTCTGTCAGCTGGACTCAGCTGTGGCAGCTCCAGACTCCTTGAGATGACTCCACCCCTGCCAGGTGTTCCTGGATCCCTGCCCTGTCCTCTTTGGGCTCCTCCCCTAACCTCACCTGCATGCCTTGGCCTCATCAGTAGCCACCATCTTTGCCGCCCACTCTTTGTCTTAGAGTGCCTTTTTTTCTTCTCCCCACACATTCCCCCATTTTCTAGGCCAGCATCTTTCCTGCTTAACCTCCTAAACCTTCTTTGGTGAGGATTAAGAACATAACCTCAGCCTTGGAAAGGTTGCTCCCTGGGCCCATCTCAGCCCCCGAGTCCAAACTTAGAGTTGCAGCCAGCCGTGGAGAACTCTGGAGTATATAGAACCCTCAGAGGCCCTCTACCGTACTCCCCTTCTCCTGTCCCCTCCTCCTGTGGCTGGAGGATGCTGCCGTTGGACAGTGCTCTGGAGGGCAGGCTTAGTACCTTTGCACCCTCCCCTCTCTGCCCACTTCCCACCAGTCTGGATGCTTTTGGCATAGCCTGCCCCCTTGAGCCCTTTACAGTGGCCCTGCCACAGTCCTCTTGCCTGCTAACAACAAGCACCCAGCTGACCAGTGTCCCCATCCCCGTTTTGGCAGCCATGACCGCCTGCCCTACCAGAGGAGGTACCGGGAGCGCCGTGACAGCGATACATACCGGTGTGAAGAGCGGAGCCCATCCTTTGGCGAGGACTACTATGGATCTTCACGTTCTCGTCATCGTCGGCGATCGCGGGAGAGGGGGCCATACCGGACCCGCAAGCACGCCCACCACTGCCACAAACGCCGCACCAGGTCTTGTAGCAGTGCCTCCTCGGTGAGTGGTAGCCAGAGTGTGCTGGCTGGGGCTTAAAGGCCTCATCTCTTCCTAGCCTTCTCTCAGGCTGGTTGGTCTGGGTGAGTACTGCCAGCCCTGTGCACGTGCAGTGGTGTGCGTGCTTGTGTGTGTGTATATGTCGTCTGGTCCAGGTGCAGGGCTGATCACAGGGGTCCTGGCCCCTGTGTCTTCTGGCCCATTCCAGTGGCAACTCTAGGAACTCTGGCTCCGATGCTGGCTGGCCCGTGGCCAGTCTATGTCTACACAGTGCTCCAGATACAGGCCACATGGTGCAAGTGGCCAGGGACACTTCTTAGGACACTTCTTAGGGATCCTAGTAGAGTGGCTCGTATTGTGGTCTGCAGCTGTATGGCCTGGTCCTTCCCACCCAGAGACTGCCTCCTCATGTAACCGAGTGCTCTGACTGATGTGGACTGCACCCACCTCTGCGTCTCATCTGCACACCCCTCCCCAAAGGCCCCCAGTCTGGAGTGCCCCACAGGCGGGGAGGATTTGCCTGTCAGCCAGCCCAGACTGGGAACTTCCCTTCTAATCTCCAGCCAGGTCCTCTCCAGCCAAGCCTCTTTATAAGGGGCACTTGCGGCGAGGAGGGGCAACTGCCTGTGTGATGGGGCATGTGAAGAAATGGCAGAAAGGCCACCGCCCGAGGCCATGTCCAGTTGCAGGCCACATGCTGAGAGCAGGGCCTGGCTAGTATTCCTAACACAGAGGGTTGTAAGGTCTCTGCTGAGATCAGGAGCCGACACTGCATTCAGTACCCTGGGGAAGGAAAGCCCATTGTGTATTTCTGAGGTTACATGCGGTCTTCTCTTCTCGCCTGATCCCTCTTCCCTGCCTCCCTTCTACTGGCCTTGAGGCCCCTGAGGAGCGGTGGAGAGGCCAGGCATCTTCTCTGCCCAGCTCGTTCTGTGACTTCTTTGAGTGGCCATGCGTTGAGGGTTGACTGCGGGTGATTGCAGCGTGGCCCTTTGGCCTCTCTGCACGCTGCCACATGCTGCCACAGGATGGCAGTGCAGGTTTGGCTCTGCTTCTCTTTTTGGTGCCCTCTATCAATCGTCGTGAGGCTTGGGATGGGCCTGATTGTGAGCAGCATGGACGCCAAGGTCAGGGCAGGAGCTGACATGGGGCCTGTGTGGGCCATTGTGGTAGGAAGCCTGGCAGTCGACCTACCCAGAGGATCCCAGGCTGCTTTCCTGCTTGAGGCTGGTGGCAGGAAGGCTGCTGATGGAAGGTTGTTTCTGGTAGTGATGGTGAAGTCTGGCCAAGGATGCCGTCTGGGGGCAGGTAGCAGCTTGGCTCTGAGTGGCAACTGTCGGGTATGTGCAAGGCTGCGTGGGCGAACAGAGGCAGGCAAGGGCAGGCTGGGCATTCTGCAGCTGAAGCCGGAGCAGCCTCTGACCAGTCTGGATGGTTGGACCCAGGCAGGGCCAGCTGCCTTCTTGCGCCGTTCTCACTGTGTCTTCCGCTCTGGCCAAAGCCACATGGGAGGGCCTGGGAGGGAGAGACTCAGAGGAGGAGGAGGGAGTCGGGGCTATGGCTCTCCTCACAGCGCGGCCCTCAGCAGCAGAGGCAGGTCATCTTCCTGAGCGTTCGTGGCACTCCTCGTAGAGATAATATCCGAGTTTTCTTTACATACCTGTAGCTGTTTTTACTTTTCTGTTTTTGAAGTCAGCTTGTGTCTTGACGTGTCCCTTGCAATATCCCTATCGTTATATATGCTGTGTGCCTTATGAAATGCTGGGATCTGGAAAATCCAACCAACCAACCCACCGGCTCCTCACCGTCTCCACCTCTGCCTTTGACTGACACCTCAATCTGTCAATCGGAACCGCCTACCATGCGATTGGTCGGATGGCGTTTCGGGGGGCGGTGCATGCAGAGAAGCCAACAGAGCAGTAAGCGCAGCAGCCGGAGTGTGGAAGATGACAAGGAGGGTCACCTGGTGTGCCGGATCGGCGATTGGCTCCAAGAGCGATGTACAGCCACCTTTCGTAAAACTTTACCTCTCTACTTTCTACCCCCCTTGTTAGACGAGACCTCTCCTGCCTGGAGGGGCCTCTAGTGCGCGTGGTGCCTTAGCGGGGCCACCAGTAATTGCCTGAATGACACAGACGCTAGCAACTTCCATTTTTAAGAGTGTACCAGTGAGAGAGAAACCTTTTTTGTTTTTGAGAATTTGAATGCTGTGAACTTGCAGGAGCTGCCAACACCCTGCCCTCCAGATTCTCATGCCCAGTTTCTTTTCTCTCCTAGATGAGATTGTGGGGAACCTGGGTGAAGGCACCTTTGGCAAGGTGGTGGAGTGCTTGGACCATGCCAGGTGAGTGAACTGGGGCAGTACAGCTGGCTCTGGATGTGACCTTCCTGGGAAGAGCTGGCCTGAGGTTCTTCAGGGTGGTGGCTATCAGAGCTTAACTGTTTTCTTTCTGAAGCGTGGCACCAGAGTAGGGTTCTGACCTGTCCATGTTGGGGTTTTGCTGATCCCCTGTAATAAGGGAGAAATTCTTGGGTTCTGCAGGCATGTGGCATTCCTGCCTAAGAATTGCTGGTCAGTGAATGGTTCTGCTCCAATCCCTCCACTTCTCCAGGGCTCTGGTGGTGGTTATCAGGACAGGACCAAGGCCCTGGCTCCCCTGTGGCTTGGAGCTGCTTCCTGTGATAACTTTTAGGTTCTTGGCCTGGCAGGCGGCTAGGAGTGCCACTAAGCCCAGCCCAAGCATGAATCCCATCCCGAGGGTCTGCCTGAGAGGCTGTGCAGATCTGTTGAAAGAAACAAGACCCTGCGCTTTCTCACCAAGCAGGCTGCTGCCTTTTCCAGTGTGGCTGGGGTAGTGTGTGGTCTCCGCTGTGTGTGCCCGGAGAGGGGTATACACTGTCGTGCTGCTGGGGCACCTCACTCTCTCCCAGGTCCAGCAGCGCAATAGTTTTGTCCCCTTACCATTCCACAAGACTAGAACTTTCCCTTTTGCTTCCTCCCCTGTAGCTCTGGGGTGGGGAGGCCCCCTCTGGGGAGCCAGTTGCCTCCCTGCCATAGGCCCTTTAATTGGTTTGGCACTTTAGCTACAGAGTACCCGTGTCTTCATTGTAGCCACTTGCCACCCATATTTGGCCTTCCTGCTATTTCAGAGATGAATAAACATCCTCAGGGTTTGGCCGCATCATACTCCAATTAACGGCAGAGCTGGCCACTGCTGCCCCATAGTGCTCCCACATTAAATGGAGTGCTCAGGAAGGCCATTCAGACCCAGGCCTCCAGCCTTCCCCTCGGCCACGAGATAGACTGACAGGAAGCTTCCATTTGCTCCACGTTTCCATGTAAACAGCTGTATGACTCAGTGTGGCCCAAGAGGTTAGGGTTGGGACCAGCAGGTGGAGGGCCATGTGCAGCCACACCGTGGCCAGGTGGAGGCATGGCAGACTCAAGAGCTGGGATGTGTGCAGGTGGTCTGGGCTGCTCCTATCTGAGGAGCTGGAGGGAACATGAGCCTCTGGAGTCATGAGGGGGCAGGTGGAAGGTCCAGGGAACCTTTATGGGACTCAAAGGGAGCCAGGGCCAGTGGGGTTTGTCATGTGGAGGCAGAATTCAGCTCAGCTAAAGGCAGGGTCATATTCTCAGAGCCATGCATCTCTGGCAGGGGCTGCCTTGGAAGTGATGAGCTCCCTGTGCTGAGGATTGGAATGCCATGGAGGGACCTTGTTTTAGGAGGAGGCTGGAGTGCATGGCCTTTCCCTTGAGTTCCCTTCCTTCCCTGAGAATCTGGGAAAATGGGATAGGGAGAGAAAAGCAGGGGATTTTCTGGAAGGTCCCTTTGCTCTGGGCCTGTGAACCTTTTCTTAGGCAACACAGTCAGCCTCCCTGAGGCCTCAGAGGACACGCCCTTCCAGGCTAGGGCTGTCTCACTCCAGTTCTCCACTGGGCATCTGGATTCTAGCTGCCCTTTCCTGACAGGGCCTGGCAGCCTTGCCTCAGCAGGTTTCCTTCTCTGCTGGCTCTCCGCAGATGGTCTCCTGGGGCGGGGTTCGGGGTGGGAAGCACAGAGCAGGGACTTAAAATCTTCTTTGGACACTTAAGAAGGGTTCCTGGCATTTTTTGGTCACTGATAAACGCTGTGGCAGGTAGGTGCAACTGGAGAGGGGTATGATAAAGGGAATGGCCCTGGGCCTCACAGTGAGAGGTACCCTTGCTGGTACCCCTACCTCTTGCCAGATCTTTACTTGATCCTGGAACCCCCTATCCCTGTTTGCTCAGACTTGCAGACAAGCCCAGGAAGGTCAAGAGGTGCTGTAGGAGGGCTCTGGGGGGGACAGCTTGGCCACAGTTGGGGCTGTCTGGCCTACAGGTTAGGTCACTGTGTGAGTTCTTGGGCTGGCATTGGTTAAGCAGGACTGGCCTTTACTCTCCCACACTCCTTTGGGAGCTGGCAGTGGCTGAGAACATAAAAGCCTAAGGCTGGCATGGATATCAGGAGCATTAACTCACAGATGCCAGGGAATTTGCTGTTGGGTGGGCAAAGGTCTGGTGTTGCATGGTGCAGGCTGGGCATCAGTATCTGCTCTCTTCAGTGCAGGCTGCTCCTGGAGTGGTGTTTATTGGGAGTTGCTGGGTCCGGGTAGAGGGTGGGGGAAGGGCTGGGTAGCTGCTGATGAGAACCTCTGTTTCCTTTCTGGGTACCAGAGGGAAGTCTCAGGTTGCCCTGAAGATTATCCGCAACGTGGGCAAGTACCGGGAAGCTGCCCGGCTAGAAATCAACGTGCTCAAAAAAATCAAGGAGAAGGACAAAGAAAACAAGTTGTGAGTGTCTGCAAGGAGTGAGAGGGAAGCCTTGAGTGGGACTGCCAGACCCCCAGGGGCTCAGCAGTGTCCCTACACCCGTCTGCACTGTGCTTTCTCCCCACACTCAAGCCAGGGGAGTCTGGCAAAGGTCTTGCTGGAAGCCTGTGGACTGCAGTCCAGGCTCCACCCCAGCTGGTGTTGTGTCCTGAGGCAGGCCCCCGCTAGCCCTGCATTTGTGAACTGGGGACCTCACTGGGTTGTGTGGGGCATAAGACAAGAAAAAAACATGAAGCTATTTGGGGCTCTCACATAATAAGAGACACCCAAAGGAGAGCCTTTCTGTGGCAGACACACAGCACTCTCCTCCACGCTCTGTGTTGAGCCTGGGCAGGTGGGTGAATCCAGCACAGACCCTCACAAAGCTCACCAGAGTGGGCAAGTCGAGAAAAGCACCACCAGTCCTGCGGCGTGCACTAGCGCTTTCCATCTCTTCCTCAGCAACTCTGAGGCAGGGCCTCTCCCACATCATTAGTAGGGGAGCTCAGAGGGCTTGGACCAGAACTGTGGACATCTTCCCCACAGGAAGCTTAGTCCTTGCCCAGAGCTCATCTGGGGATTGGGTGATGGCCGGTGGGGAGAGGTGCTCTTGCTCTGATTCTCTTGCTTCGTGTGTACCTGCATTCTTGTGTGTGACCCAGTGGCCTAGGAGAGAGTTGGGGACTGGCTTCATCTGAGAGGTGGTAAGGCAGGCCCCCACCACACAGCCTGAGCCCCGCCCATGCTTCTCCGCCAGCCTGTGCGTCTTGATGTCTGACTGGTTCAACTTCCATGGTCACATGTGCATCGCCTTTGAGCTCCTGGGCAAGAACACCTTTGAGTTCCTGAAGGAGAATAACTTCCAGCCTTACCCCCTACCACATGTCCGGCACATGGCCTACCAGCTCTGCCACGCCCTTAGATGTAAGTGTCCACCCTCGAAAGGAGCATGGGGCAGCCACACGCCTGTACCCAAGTCATCTGGTTACTTGCTGTCCCCATTCATTCCAGCACATTACTAACCATTCTGGGCCTCAGGGACACCAGAGCCCCTTTGATGGAAAGGCCTTCTGTCTTAAGGTGGGAATCTCAGTGTGAGGATGGAAAGGTTAGGGCTCCCTCCAGGGACTTCCTGGACCAGCGTCTACCCCAGGCACTCAGGAATTAAACAGAAAAGAACTGCTCTGGAATTGGCCTGACCGCCAACCCTGACTCCCCGCTTCATACATAGGACAAAAATGTAGAAGCCTGGGCCAGGTGTGGTGGCTCATGCCTGTAATCCCAGCACTTTGGGAGGCTGAGGCAGGAGGATCACCTGAGGTCGGGAGTTCAAGACCACCCTGACCAACACGGAGAAACCCCGTCCCTACTAAGAATACATAATTAGCCAGGCATGGTGGTGCATGCCTGTAATCCCAGCTACTTGGGAGGCTGAGGCAGGAGAATTGCTTGAACCTGGGAGGCAGAGGTTTCGGTGAGCCTTCATGCCATTGTACTCCAGCCTGGGCAAGAGCGAAACTCCATCTCAAAAAGAAAAGTAGACACCTGACCTTACAGATCCCACCACAGGTCCTGCCCACATGGAGACCCTCTGTTTAGCCCTGACTCGTCATCTGCCTGCCAGCCTTGAAAAGCATTATTTGGTGGTGCCACGGCTCAGTGCTGTAGGATTTGCAATGGCTGGAGCAGTACAGAAAGGCTTTTTGGTGAAGTTGATAGACCTTGAGCTAGAGTGTGCAGGATCTGCATAGACGGGACAGGGACAAGCATTCCAAACAAGGGGAACAGCTTGGTGAGGCCTGGAGCCTGGTATAGGCTGAGAATTGATTCTAGTGTAGTAGGCGCCCCTTGGGGATTGGTGGGCCACACAGTTCTGAGGGTCTTGAGTGCCAGATGGGAGCCTTGAGCTGAAAAGTGACTATTAGCAGGAAGCCACTGTCAGTGGGACAGGGGCTGGAGGGGAAAGGCTTCCTACTTCATGCCTAGCAATGAGAGGCGGGGCTGGCTTCCTGGGTGTGTGACCTATGCACTCAGTTGCACGGGAGCCTGTGCTTTAATGCCCTCTTACTACCACCGAAACATTCTTAGTAACTTGAACAAGGGCCCTGCATATTATGTAGCTGGTGCTGGGGAGAGGGAAGCACCTGGAGGCTGTTGCTGCAGCTTTGATGAGAGACAGGTGAGGGGGCCTGTTCTCTGCAGAGGAGAGGTAGGTGGAGGGAGGTTTTTCCGAATGGCGAGTTTCTTTTTCTACCCTCCTGCTAAAGTATCAGAACCCTCCAAGGCCTCAAGTACAGAGAATCGTTGAGAGGGAGGCCAGCATAGAGGCAGGTTGCAGTCCAGCTCCCTGCTGAGGTGGGGGTATGAGGAGCTCTGGCAGTTGCTGGCATTGGAGGAGGGTTCTGGCCTAGACCTGGCAGGAGAGCCAGGTTCTCAGTGCCCACTTCTTGTTCTTTCCCTGCTCTCTTAGTTCTGCATGAGAATCAGCTGACCCACACAGACTTGAAGCCAGAGAACATCCTGTTTGTGAATTCTGAGTTTGAAACTCTCTACAATGAGCACAAGGTATTGGCAGGGGTAGGGTGAGGCCCTGCTCCAGGGGTGGGTTACCCGCTGGTACAGACTCCTGACCTGGTGTGCCTGCCTTGCCTTTCAGAGCTGTGAGGAGAAGTCAGTGAAGAACACCAGCATCCGAGTGGCTGACTTCGGCAGTGCCACCTTTGACCATGAACATCACACAACCATCGTGGCCACCCGTCACTATCGCCCACCTGAGGTGATCCTTGGTGAGTGACTGTATGGCCTGTGACCTTGTCACACTGGACCTGTTGGAAGGGTATGAATAGAGGCGGTGGCATGCCTTTCAGTCTCTGCCACCCAGGGCAGGCAGAGTTTCTCAGATCAAGGGGCCCATGTCATGAGACACAGGTGACTGACCTGGCCTTATCTGTCAGCCTTACTGAGAGGGGGCCTTGTACTGGGATTTGGGCAAGAGTCCTGCCAGCCAGTGTGGTGGTTGCCCTGTGACCTCCAGGCTGCAAGGACAGGGCCGGATCTCTCAGCCTCTCCCCATCTTGGCTTTCAGAGCTGGGCTGGGCACAGCCCTGTGACGTCTGGAGCATCGGCTGCATTCTCTTTGAGTACTACCGGGGCTTCACACTCTTTCAGGTACAGCTACCCCGCATCACTTCCCTACCCAAGCACTGCCGTTGTGACAGGCTGCAGGCCCCTGGGCTGGGAAGCCCCATGCGGATGAGAAGACAGGTTGTCTTCCTCCTCCCACTGGTCATGTTGTGAGGTTCAGACTCCTAAGGATATGGATGCTAAAGGGTATGCAGAAGTCAGGGTAGCTGGGACACTCAGAGAGGAGTCTTGTGCTAGGCCATCGAGGAGGGCGGATGGGGCAGGTGACCTGACCTTCTAGATAAGGGCACAGATGAATAAAGGCATTGGGATGGGCTGGGATAGGGCATGGGCTGCCAGGCTGCCGTTTCATTGGTAGGCTTAGATCTCCTGGGGCAGTGAGGGCACTTGCCCATCTCTCTTGTTCCTTATTCCCCGTGAGGAAGCCAGAACTAGGACTGACCCTACTTGCACTGTCTCTAATCTTCCACAGACCCATGAAAACCGAGAGCACCTGGTGATGATGGAGAAGATCCTAGGGCCCATCCCATCACACATGATCCACCGTACCAGGTATGTATCCCAGTAGCCCCCTCAGGGTTGGCATAGGGGCCTTTCTCTTTTGGCTGTGGGTCAACAGGGTACTAGACGTGGTGAATCTTTGAGGGACAGTCCATGGCTCCCCAGGCTCCTAAAAGCCTTTCCTATGTGCCCCTGCAAACCTGTTGGCCTGGTTCTGCTGCTGTCTTGGGAGCTGTTCTTCCCCACCCCCCACCAGAGGCTTGTCCCCTTACTACTATCACCACTTGACCCCACCGCCTTAATTTTCAGGAAGCAGAAATATTTCTACAAAGGGGGCCTAGTTTGGGATGAGAACAGCTCTGATGGCCGGTATGTGAAGGAGAACTGCAAACCTCTGAAGGTCAGTTTCTGGCTTCCCCAGCTCAACTCATCCCAAGGAGAGACCCCAGGCACTGGGCAGACTATACATCAGACAGGCCAGGCCGCTAAAGGCTGCCTCCTCGATCCAGCTCTGTGGGAGGCGACACCCAAGACTGCTGGGTGCTGGCAGTGAGGCTTCTTGCAAACTGCTCCAGAGGGGCCCTTAGCCCTACCCCTTCCCCATAGGGTGGCTATGAATTTAATTGGGGAACACCAGAAGAGCCAGATGTCAGAAACCCTGCTGCTTCCTGTCCCTCTCACCCTCTCTCAAAATTTTGGGAAGAACTAGGCAGGACTGAGGTGAGGGGGAGGGAAGACCTAGAAATGGCCAGGAAGCCTCTGTCAACTGCATTTGATGCTTGGACAAGTGAATTTCGCAGAGGTGATCTCTACCCACCTGTCAGGACTTTGCATGTGGGGGCAGAGGCATCAACCCAGCAAGACGCCTAGTAGCCTGGCAAGTTCCGAGCAAAACGTTAAACACGGGCATGAAAGGAAAGGAGCTGCTCATTGTCCAGGAGGGCGGAAGTAGAGTCCTCCAAGGAGGCATCACTGCCTCCTCGATCCAGTCCAGCAAGGCATCCCAGAGGCAAGGGGACCTGCTGAGGCTTCCCACTACCCTGCCGTCACACTGAGGCACCTTGTGTCCCTGAGCAGAGTTACATGCTCCAAGACTCCCTGGAGCACGTGCAGCTGTTTGACCTGATGAGGAGGATGTTAGAATTTGACCCTGCCCAGCGCATCACACTGGCCGAGGCCCTGCTGCACCCCTTCTTTGCTGGCCTGACCCCCGAGGAGCGGTCCTTCCACACCAGCCGCAACCCAAGCAGATGACAGGCGCAGGCCACCGCATGAGGAGATGGAGGGCAGGACTGGGCCGCCCAGCCCCTTGACTCCAGCCTTGACCACCAGGCCCCAGGCCAGAGCCACCCAACGAACAGTGCAATGTGAAGGAAGGCAGGAGCCTGCAGGGGAGCAGACTTGGTGCCCAGCTGCCAGAAAGCACAGATTTGACCCAAGCTATTTATATGTTGTAAAGTTATAATAAAGTGTTTCTTACTGTTTGTAACCCCTGGTACCAGTGTGTCCATCTCCAGGCTCCTTGCCTTCCCCTTCCCTGACCTTACTAATAAAGTATTTCTTAGCACTTCAGCTTGTGGAGAGCTAAGTGTGAACTGGGCCAGGCACAGAAGAGCTAGGCAGGGGTAAGACCAGAAGCAGGGACGTCCTCTGGGCCCTGTCTGCTGAGCAGTCCTAGATGGCACCTCTGCCCTCCTGGCTGCTGTACCTCTCAGCCCCGAAGAACCTAAGGGACTCTGCCCACTGTGGGGTCTGGTTTTCTGTAGCCTGCCAGCCCCATTACTGGCTGGGACTTTAGGCTGTATGTGCCCAACAACTATGGTCTGCTGAAGGCAGGAGGCAAGTGGGGCGGGTTCCTAGGCTGGGGCAGGCAGCACCTCCTGACAGCCTTCAGAGCAATTCACACACACGGCATAGGACTCAGTCATTCAGCTTTATTTCAGTGCTGGTTTTTGGTTCTCTAAGAGCTGCATGAGTGCTAGGCTTCACCACGTGACTGGGGACTCCTTGGGAACTGGATACTATAGGCAGGATGCCCCTGAAATAACTGAAGACAGGAATCTTACTTCTCTTCAACACCTCTGTGGAAGGCCTAGGCTGAGGATGAGGGAAGGGACAAGCCCCAAGGCCCCCTGGGGAGAGAGGAGTGAGAAGCTTGGGTACAAACTCCCAGTGGCCCCTCGGCTGGCATCCCTGGATTTTGCTGGAGAGAGCAGTCTCCTGGGCCAGGGTTGTTCTAGCTTGTTTCTCACTATACCTACTCAGGAGGCCTATTAACAGGCAGCCAGAACCTGCCTACTAAAATGCCTGTAACCTAGACTGTGCCTCAGATTGTGGCCCTGCCTCTAAAGAGAGGACTCCAGCCTGGGAGCTGCTTGGCCCTGAGCCTGAGCAGAGGCTCAAATACACAACATGAGGCTTATGGTCCCTGGCCTCTTCCCACCTCTAGAGACAATTTAACATTGGTGGGAAGATGAGAGGAGGGGCCAGCCTTCTACCCTGGCTCATCTGCTTCTGGCTATGCTCCTACAAGAAAAGTGATAGCAGCCTGAAACCTATGGCACCAGGGCCTACCCTGTGTCCACAATCCTTGGTGAGCCCCTGTCTGCCCATCCACCTGCTCAGCCACTCTGGGCAAACACAGCAGAAGAAGCCCAAAGCCCCAAAGCAGGCTTAAGCACAAGTCCTTGGCAGGGCTTGTGCTGCCAAGGCATAGCTCCTGTTCTACCAGCCTCCAGGGCCTAGGCCTGGGAAGGCCCTGGGGCTCAGTGCCTTAGGATCTGAGGTTTCTATGGTTGGACCCCCACACCAGCTACCTCATCCAGAACTGGCCTCATTTTGCCATCTTTGAGACACGGTGCTGGCCTCAAACCTACTCATCTAGACTGGACAACTAACTGTAAAGGGTTCAAAGCCCAGATGTTTTAAGAGCTGGGTGGAGTCCAAGCAGGGGAGCCCATGCACCCTGCTCTGGGATGACAGCTGCAAAGGACCATTTCAGGGTAAGGGCAGAGGGGATGAAAGAGTAGGTGGAGCATGTATGTGCAGGCAAAGGGGTGGGGGAGTGGTGGCCTAGGACAGAAGCACCAGGAAGCCTCTTCTGGCTGAGCACCAGCCTCCCCCAGGGATATCCCTATCTGAGGGGTCTGGCCCCAGACTAGGCAAAGTCTTGGCCTGCTGAGCTTTGGGGGTGGGGGAGGGCACTGCTGGCAAGATGGGCACTGTGGTTCTACAGTAATATAACCTTATACTACCTGTGCTGAAGACGACAGAACATAAAATCCCAACACAGAAACACCATCCTAATGCCGCCCCTTCCCTACCTCTGAGTGATGGAGGGGAAAGGAGGGAGGAATCCTTGGAAAAATCAGCCTAAAACTTGTATCAGCTCAGGAGAAAGGGTCAGAAGCCCCCCAAATCAACTTCTGATGTGGGTAGGGGAAGGCCGGGTCTGTCACAGCCCTGGAAATGAGTGGAGAGCGCAGGTCTGCCCTCTGGTGGACAGCTGCCATGCAGCTGGTTCTAGGTGATTAGAGGAAGGGCTGTCTGCGTGGGGAAAGCAGGGGAGATACAAAGCCACAAGCTCTGAAATAAGAGCAGGTACAAGCCCCCAAAAAGGACCCGGCCCACTCCTCAATGCGTGTGCCCAGGCCCAGTGGCTGTAAACCTGAAATATAGTCTGAGAGCTGCCTATGTCTGTAAACGAAGGCCCGCCTGGCGTGCAGGGGGCTGAGGGTAGAGATGCCTGGAGCTGCTGCACACTCACCTGCCGCGTGCCCAGAACACAGTTGGAAAGACTTCCCTGGCTCAGGGCAAGTGACAGGTCAGTTTTAAGTAAGTTCTGTTCTCTCACAGAAGAAACAAACCCAAGAGAGAAAAACTTTTAACAACAAGGTCCATGAAGCTTCAAATCCTTAAGGCATTTGTCCTCAGGAGCAGCCGGGGACGGCAGAGTCCTGCCTGTGCAGGAACCCTCTAGGCAGAGTGCAGTGGGATGACAAACTTGCAGCCAAAGGGCGAGTGGTAGTTGATGCCCACCTCCTGGAAGACCTGCTGGGGAATGCCAATGTCGCACAGATAGATACGGCCGGCATGCTCCCCCAGTGGCAGAGGCAGGCCCAGTGCCAGTGACCATTTGGCATCAATGCCCTGTTCAACTTCATGCACAGGAGGGTCTATGCTGAGTACTGGTGCCCGGTTCTGGTTGGCCCAAGCCACAGCTGCCTTGTACCAGGGCTGATCACGCAGGAAGATGTTCTCAGGGCAATCCAGGCAGTTGATGACCAGGTCCACAGGGCTAGTGGGCAGATCTGCAGGTGAAAAGAAAGCCATCTGAAAATCCCTGTAAGCAGAGAGCAGCCCCGGTTGGGACTAGGGCCCAGGTCACCCCAAGGGTGTCTGTTTTCCAGACACCACTCTGACGCCTCTCCACAGGCTGGCCTTCTTAAAGCTGGGCCAGGGCACTGCCCTAGGAGTTGCCAGGCCTGGCTGGGCTGAGTGCTAGAGACCAAGTGCACGTCAGCCCAGCAGACCACTGCCCTCCTGGAGTTCTCAGGATGAACCAAGGTCCTGCTGAGTGTGCAGAGCTTCTCAGGGCACAAAGCCCTCACCTCCTCTGTCTTTCCAGGCACACCTCTGTATATCCAGGGCCTGAGTTGGGGCTTCCCCGTGATGGCCAACTTGACAGTGGACTCTGCCTTCCCAGAGTACATGAGGTGCCCAGGGCTGGCCTACTCATTCTACCCTAGCAAGCCTGTCATCTCTGGCCCTCTCATTATCACACAGGAATGGGTCCTCCCCTCAGCCAGCCTTAATTAAGAATTAAGAGGGTACCAATTACTGTTCTCCCTCCACTCAGCCAGCCTTAATTAAGAATTAAGAGGGTACCTATTACTGTTCTCCCAGGCTCCTCTGCTCTAACCAGGCCTCTGGAACAGTACTGGAAAAGGATGTCTCAACAAGTATGTAGATCCTGTACTGGCCTTAGAGGTTAAACTGAGAATAGCAGAAATCAGACCAAACTTAATGGTCATTCTCAGGCTTGTGTCCTGAAGCAGATGGGATAGAAAACCTTTTAAGCAGCCAGAGGAAGAACTGCCTGGAAGGGGGCATCATGTTAAAGATTTCAAGAAGGGGAACCCACACCAGGCTCCCTTCCCAGCTCCAGCCTAGAATAACGGCATTTCTCAGCTAGAGACTCACAACTTCCCTGCTTAGAATGTGCCACCGTGGGGAGTCCCTGTAGGCCACGAGGCTCTCAAGAGTGAGAGTGGCATTCTAACCTCTGTGTGCCCACAGGAGCCTGGCCTGACTCAGAAGGCAAAGGTTCCGATCCAGGCTTAGCTGTTGACGCACTATCTGACCACCGGTGAAGCCCTTTCTCTGGGCCACATTTGCTCTCTCCAATTCTCCTTGCTGTTCTCAGACTCTGTCCTGCCACTCCACTCGAGACTGACACTCACCAGGGGCCTCCACGCTGCCACATCAGTGGTTGATTCTGTCTTCCTTTGACCTTAACCCAGAGTGGGGCTTGTTGACGCAGCCGATCACATGCTCCTTTCTTCACTTGGCATTCAGCTACCTCTCTCCTGGTTTTCCTCCTCACTCACCATTCCTGCCTGCTCCATCTCCTTGGTTATGTTCTTTACTCCCCGACTTCTAAATAAAGAGCTCAGTTTTCCAACTTCTGTATCTACTCTCTTCCTATGTGACAGCATATTCAGACTCATCATGGCTTAAATATTCCCTATGGCTTGTAACTCTAGGCTGAATCCTTTCACTTTAGATTCATGTCACTCCTTCCCTATCCACATTTCCACCTGCATATCCAATAGGTGTCTCTTCCGGAGCTTCTGCTGTTCCTCCCCAAACTTTCTCCATCAAGTTTTCCAATCTCAGTGATCACACCTCAGTTACTCGGGCCAAAAGCCTTGAAGCCATTCCCAACTCTTCTCTTTCTCCCACCCCCCATCCATCCAATCTGTGGATTCTATCTCCAAAACCGATTTAGAAACTAACCACTTTCACCGCCTCCGCCACTACCACCCTGTCTCAGCCACCATCATCTCTCTCTCTCTGATCACAACAGCATCTTGCCACCTCTGTGGACTCCTCTGTGTAGTCCACTCTCAAACAGCACCCAGGATGGTCATGTGGGACCTAAATTTCATTATATCATTCCTCTACTTATTCCTTCAGTGACTCATCTCACCCAGAGTAAAAGCCCAAATCCTTGTGGTCATCCCCAAGGCCCATCATGACCTGACCCTGAAATGTCCAAGTCTCCTATTCTCCACCCAATCCTCCAACATGCCTCCTCTCCCTGATTCATTTTTCTCCATATCACTTACTACAATTACACAAATATGTTACCTATCTGTGTGTGTGTTCCTCTTAACCTGACGATAAGCTCCATGGAAGAATGGATTTAAAAAAAATCTGTTGCCATATCCCCAGCATCAGGAAGAGTGCCTGTTCAACAAATATTTGTAGAATGGACCAGTGGGTCCCCAGCTCTTCATCTGAGTAGTGGGAGAGGGAGAAGGGTAAGAGGAAGTGGCGTACTGCCGTTCCCAGACTCCTTAGAGGCGGAGCAGCATCCTCACACATGGAGTGCCTTTCCATCTGTTGCCACAGGGTGGCACAACGAGACCATCAAACCGCCAAGGAGGGAGGAGGCCTTCGTCCCGGCCTGCATCCGCGTGCTCACCTTTGAGGCTAGACACTTGTTGGCCCTGGGTCTTGCTGAAGAGTGACAGCTCATTGGTGATAGATTCCAGCATCTTGACGAAGTTAGGCAGGAAAAGGATGACCTGAACATCATGGTTGGCTAGGTGCCTTCCACAGCTGATACCCTGAGCCCCCTTCACGTGAGGTCCACACAGCAGAGCCACTGTAGGCCTCTGGTGAACATTTTTGGGATTCAACCTGGAAAAGGTGAAGAAGCAGTTACCAGCAGACTTGCCAATCCCTTGCGCTCTATACCATGTAGCACCTATTGCTCTCAGATCTCTTACTGCTCGCCAAGTCCCAGGCTCCAGAGGGGAAAAAAATCCACTGCAGGCCAGGTCTACAGGGTGTCATTCCCACTGACCCAAACCCCAGCCTCACGTCATTGCGGGGTCCTCCCACTAAGTGGTTCACCCAGATCTTGGTCCACACAACACTGTTGCCAGAACACCGCTTTTCTGACCCAGGAGCTTAGTGGTTCCTCTGCAGCCTTCTCTGCTCTTCTTCCCCAACCACGAGTCTGCTTCACACCAGCAGGGCTGGTCTCACTCTCTCCTGCGCTTGTCAGGCCCTTTCCTGCTTATGCTCAAACTATGTCCCTTGCCCAGAAAGCCTTTCACTTTCCAAACTCTGACTCGCCTTTTCTTGGAAATCTAGCTCAAGGCTTACCTCTGCTGGGACTGGCTCAAGCATTTACCTCTCAACTAATAAACTCAGAGCAAGTACCATAGCTCTCAATTCTCCTCAATCAGTTGCCAACCCCAGTTTTCTTTACTGAGCTCAGTAGCTTACTGAAGATAAAGAAAGCAATGCCACAGGTATGAACAGTACCTATTTCATAGGATGCCGTGTGGGTTGTTGGATGACCAGCACTTAGCAGTGCCCAACACAAAGGTGCTCAGTCAGCGCTGACCGTGGAGGAGCAGCAGGCTAAGAGTTACATGTCCTCCTTTGCCAGCAGCTGCCCTGATGCAATAGTCACGTCCAGTTTCCTGCTATTCAAAGTTGAGACTCCTCTGGACTCAGAGGAGCCACAAGTAAGGAGATAAGGAGGATTAGCCCCAGAGCTGTGCCCAACTCATAGGCAGCACGCTTGGCTCATGGGGCAGCAAGGTAGGGAGGAGACGGACAGCCATTGGTCCCTGCCTAGTGGCGGAGCAGTGATAAATCACTTACTGGTTTCCCACAGGGAGGAAGATGACAAGATGCTGTCAAGCTAAGAGGAGGGTCAAAACTGCCCCATTCCCAAACACACTTTGGAGAATTTAACAATCTACTCTACATTCTAGACACCAAACCATCTGCCTTCCCATTTTTGTATTTAGAGGAAATAAATGCAATAGAAATGCAATGACGTGAGGCTGGGGTTTGGGATGATGGGAAAAAATAAATTCCTTCAGAGGATGCTGCGGAGTTGTGGCATCTGACTCACTTTGTTCTCTAAAGGGATTCTTCCTCTCAGGGAGACACACCTCTCTTGCCCCCCAATCAAAAGAATCGAAGCAGAACACAGCATTTACACACCCAGCCAGTGGCAAGGCGTAGAGTATATGGGCACTGGAAATGGACCAGTGTGGATCAGAGGCTTGGCTGGACTGTGTACCAGCAGTGTCACGTGGGCAAGTCCCTCAGCTCTCTGAGCCACAGTGTACTCATCTTAAAACATAGGGCTATTATTTGGCTTTGAGGTAAAGTTACGAGGACCACATTGAATCATGATATGAAAGCTACATGGCACTTGACATATATTAAACTTAAAGATCACTAACTACATGTCTGATTTCTCAACATCAGCAACTGCTACAAAGGACAGGAGATGGGCCTACTGAGAGGAAAGACTGGCACAAGGGGCTGGCTAGAGAGCACTGTGACTTGGTAAGGACATTAGACTCCTGCCCCAAAACTGCTATTTCTGGGAAGCCATTTAATAGTCTCAAAATGCCCACAACGGTGGCTCTGGGAGGAGGTGCAGGAGACACCAGATCCAGAGGACTGATGCTCTTTCAGAGGGCACCTCACACTACCCCTCATGTAGGCATTTCCCTGACCCTTCCCTGGCACAGAAGAGCCCAGGGATCTAACAGCTAGGAAGCAGGCCTAAAGGGACAGGGAAAAACTAACACTCCCACCTCCAACTCAAGTAGGATGAGGGAGGTGGAAATCTTACATCCAGCTTGGACTAAGCCTGCTTGAAACAAGATTCGCTTCAGAATCAGGAGATGCCTTCCATTCAAACACAACATGATCAGGCCCAGAGAAAGATAATGGCACGTATCAGTTTTCTGGCACGGACCCCCAAATACCATAACTGGAAGCACAAGCCAAGGACTAGGATCCCTTTCCCAAACAGGGAACTATCCCAACATCCTATCACATGAGGCTTTGGATCTGTGAGTGCTGCTCAGGGAAAGGAAGCTTTCCTTGCCCCACTGAACCCAGATCTGCCTTGCCCCTTGGAAGCCACCTCCCCACTCCAGACACCACTCTCCCACAAGGTTGCCCACCATGTCCTCTTTACTGACAAATCCAACAGGCACTTGTCAACTCTAATTCTGACTGATCTCTCAGCAATACTGCTGCTGGATATTCCTTTCTTCTTTCTGAGATGGAGTCTCAGTCTGTGGCCGAGCCTGGAGTGTAGTGGCCCAATCTCAGCTCACTGCAACCTCTCACTGCAACCTCTGCCTCCCAGGTTCAAGCAATTTTCCTGCCTCAGCCTTCCCGAGTAGCTGGGACTACAGGTGCCAGCCACCATGCCTGGCTAATTTTTGTATTTTTAGTAGAGACGGGGTTTCACCACATTGGCCAGGCTGGTCTTGAACTCCTGACCTTGTGATCTGCCCACCTTGGCCTTCCAAAGTGCTAGGATTACAGGTGTGAGCCACCACACCTAGCCCCTTTTTTCTTCAAATACTATTTCCTTGGTTTTTACACACTACCCTCTTGGTTTCTGACCTCTCTGGCTTTCTTCTTCATCCTCATAATTGTGCCTTACATGCTGATGTACCCCAGAATCCTACCCTAGGCCCTTTCTTTTCATACCTTCTCCTTGTATGATCTCATCTACTCTTACACCATCTACAAGCTGACAACTCCAAAAATTTCTAGCATCAGCTCAGACCCTCTGAATTTCAGATCCTTTTTTGAGGGGTGGAGGGGAGATGGAGTCTCGCTCTGTTGCCAGGCTGGAGGGCAGTGGCATGATCTCAGCTCACGCAACCTCCTCCTCTCAGGTTCAAGTGATTCTCCTGCCTCAGCCTCCCAAGTAGCTGGGATTACAGGTGTCTGCCACCATGCCTGGCTAATTTTTATATTTTCCGTAAAGAAATGGTTTCACCACATTGGCCAGAATAGTCTCAATCTCTTGACTTCGTGGTCTGCCCACCTTGGCTTCCCAAAGTGTTGGGATTACAGGTGTGAACCACCACACCTGACCTTCTCTTTTTCTTTTTAAGAGATAGACAAGGTCTCACTATGCTGCCCAGGCTGGCCTTGAACTCCTGGGCTTAAGCAATCCTCCCACCTCAGCCTCTGGAGCAGCTGGGATTGTAGGCATGCGTCACCAAACCTGATGTGTCCACTCTTCTGATCTCTGCTTCCCTAGTTGGGCCACCATCATTTGGGCCCTGGCTCAGTTTTCTAAGTGTTGCAGTTTTCTATCTGATCTCTCTGCCTTTAGTCTTGCCTCCATTAAATCTACTGTCCTCATTGTAGCTAAAAATCATCTTTTTAAAACACAAGACTAACCATGTCATAGCTCTACTGAAATCCTTTCAGCAGCTCCCTACCACTCAGCTGTACTGAGACCCACTTTCCAGCCACACAGAGTCACTTATGGACTGCCAGCAGTTCTGTGGTCTCTTGACACATGCTACTCCATGTACTTAGAATACTTTCTTCTGGCCCAGGTGCAATAGCTTACACCTGTAATCCTAGCACTTTGGGAGGCCAAGGTGGGCAGATTAACTGAGGCCAAGAGTTTGGGACCAGCTTGGACAATACAGTGAAACCCTATCTCTACCAAAAACACAAAAATTAGCCGTGCATGGTGGCACATGCCTGCAGTCCCAGCTACTTCATGAGGCTGTATTTATCAGGAGGCAGAAGCTGCAGTGAGCCAAGATTATGCCACTGCGCTCCAGTCTAGGTGACAGAGTGAGAACCTGTCTCAAAAAAAAAAAAAAAGAATGCCTTCTTTCTTGCTTGCCCACATTAATCACCCCTTGTTTGTCAGGGCTAAGCCTGGATGCCACTGCTCCAGATGGGTGACTGGTTTTCCAGCTGGGGGCAGTAACATGGCTTACTGGAGAATTGTGTTTCCTCTACCACAGGCCTATACTTTCTAGAGACCTAACTGGGCTACTGGAGGAAAGGCACAGTATTTATTCTTCTTTGGGTCCCGGTGACTAGCAGAAGGTCTGGCACATGGTATCAGTCTGTCTGCAAATAAAATAAGGCACCGCCTTTGATGTCTGAGCCTAAGGGGCAGGGGGAAAGGTGTCAAACTACCTCCCCTACCCAGTTGTCAATGTGCTCTGAGGAGGGGCAAACAAAGAAACCTGGCAGCATCTACAGCAGGAAAGTGACTTCAGAGATTCTCCCATCAGATGAGCAGAAACTGCCCAATGAACTTGTGTGTACATATGAGAGGCACTGTGGTGGTGGCCGGGCATAGCATGCTCACTCCACATTAAGTCCTTGCCAGTTTACAGGCAGTTACCTGTTGGGTCCTCCAAGGAGGGTCAGTGCCATCTGACTGGCACACACGCCTGTCATCTCCAGTCTCCGCTCCAGGGTCAGCCCATGCTTCTCAGCCACGGACAACAGCTTTTTATGTAGCTCATAGGAAACACTTGGGACAACAAGGCCAGAGTCTGCAATTCAAAAGGAGGAGAGAAAGGGAAAGTGACTTCAGAAACCAGGTCCAAACTGGGTATATTCTATCCAAGATTCTGCAAATGCCAACATTTTACCATGGCCCACCCCTGGGCCCATCGTCTTCATCTTCTGGGACTGAGGCAAGCTCTGCAGAGCTCAAGTAGTGGATGGTGAACCAAGCAACAACTTGTTCCAGGTCACCACAGAGCAGGGACAAACTTAATCTCCCTTAGCAGTTTAGCTTTAGACCACGAAGGCCAAATCTACCTTAATATGCTTAGTTGCTACCAAGACCAGCACACAGCCTATAACAGCAACCTATTAGGTGTATCAGGAAAGAACGTGATCTTCCCAAAGTGGGGGAAATGCCATCTTGGGCAGCGAGGTTTTCTCACAAGCAGGCCCCTTGTCCTTGCTGTGTAGAAGAGACACAGACACTAGCAAACCCTGCTGGCCTTCTTGCCCCTGCTGTTCTCAACTGCAGGGCAAGAGGACTTATTCCATCTGCTCCCGTCTTCCTTTTCCTTCTCTCTTCTATTTATCCCTTCCTTTCTGATTAAGAAACTCAGCTAGCAAAGATGTTTTCTCAAATAATTTGTCATTTTCTCTCTATCTGAGGTGGGTGTAACCCAGTACTCACAACATGGGCAAGGAGTACATGGTTGAGTACACCATGGCTGCCTTTAAGCTACTCTGATCATTAAAAGCAGGCAACTGCTGGGGCCAGGCACGGTGGCTCACGCCTGCAATCCCAACACTTTGGGAGGCCGAGGCGGGTGGATCACCTAAGGTCAGGAGTTGGAGACCAGCCTGACCAGTATGGCGAAACCCATCTCTACTAAAAATAAGAAAACTGGCCGGGAGTGGTGGCGTGTGCCTGTAGTCCCAGATACTTGGGAGGCTGAGACAGGAGAACTGCTTGAACCCAGGAGGCGGAGGTTGTAGTGAGCTGAGATCGTGCCACTGTACTCCAGCCTGGGCAACTAAGTTGTCTCAAAAACAAAACAAAACAACAACAACAAAACACTAAAAATGGGCAACTTATAAAAGTTGGGGAGAATTAGTCATTGAAAGTATACTATGGAAAATACTTGGTTTTTCAAGGCTCAAAACCAGTATCTATAGCAGCTGGTGTATGTGAAGAAATCTAAAGTATTTATTATATGCACCAGTGTCAACATACCAGGATAGAAACAGCAAACCCAAAAATTGGATCTGCAATGGACAGCTCTTACCTTGACAACCAAGGTACACTCCCTCCAAGATGCCAATGCTATCTTACAAATGCCAAAGCCACTGGGCTGACAACAGACCCTTTCCCAAAGAGCCCCAGTTGGCTTCAATGGCCAATGGACCAGCAAACACCGATTCTAATTAGCAATTCACTGCGGGGCTGCATGTCACTAGCTTTGTCCAGCTAGATCAGGCGCCTTTTTAGATTCTGTGTCCTCAATTATACTGAACTGTAAACCACCTGAGGTAAGGAAGTGCATCTTTTACTTCTTCAGCCTTCGCCTTCTCAACTTGTTCTAGCTAGGCTTATCAACAGAGGTGAGTTCTCATCAGGTACTCAGACATGTAAGTGATGTAAGCCTAGTGCCCACTTCTGCTCTGGACTTACTCTAAGGTAGGAGAGTTAGGGAATAAAAGTTAACAAACGTTTTCAGTACATTCATCATCATTCCACTGTCCCAGAGCCCCGTCTAGAAAAACCTGTTTTCTTCACTCGTCACATCAGAAGAAAATCTCTTGAGGTTTTATCAGGTTCGGTCCTACCTGCATAGATTCTTAAAACCACACAGAATGAGGGTACAGCTTCATGTTTTCACAACGGGAAACCAAGCACAAAGACTGAACCTACAGACCCAGGTCTGTATCCTCTCAGGGAAGGCAGAATAACAATGTCATGTAATGATGATGATAAAAAATATCTAACATATCAAATAAACACTATCCTGCTAGCTAGCTGAGCCCCTCTACCTGCCCAACCTATTCCTGGTCTGGTGAGAGGCAATAAAACAGTGCCATTAGGAGCACTGAGTCTCTCTTCCCACCTCTTTCTGAAATGGCAGTCATTGGTATTCCAGGTGCCAGTGCTGGAGGCTGCAGCCTGACCTTGCATGTCAACAGCTGATTAAAACAGCCATTTTTATGGCCTGCTTCAGACACGCACATATTATCAGAACTAATTAGGCTGAACAATTTTCGAAAGTCCTAAGCCACTAACAACTCAAACCTGTCAGACAAGTCACGCACCTGACTACTTCAAACACCCTCTTTACCTGCAGAGTCACGCGAGGCAGAGCTTTCACTCATCTCTGCATTTCTTTACCTGTTTATCAGAATTCTTTCTGTTAGATTTGAAACGGGTCAGAGCAGTGAGTCCTGGGCCTGCTACTCCATTCATCGAGGGTTCTGGGTCTGGCTCTTGTGCTACGTGTACAGGCAGCAGCCCCTCCCCTACCCCCTCATTCTGAGGGCTGAGAGCTGGCAGAGGCATTTTCTGCTAGCTGTCCCTTCATAGTTCTTAAGAGTGCAAAACCTAATGGTACAAGAGAGGAGACCTCACCCCCGACCAGCTGGCTAGATGCTGCTGCTGGAAGCTGAGAGTCTCTCACCATCTCCTTGCTGATCTGTGTTGGGGGAAGGGGCACTGTTGATGAATTAGCATATTTTTGCAGCCTAGAAAGACAAAGCCAAGAACCATTCTGCTCAGAGTCTGGCAGTTACAGGGTCTAGAACTCTACTCTGTTGCTCTGAAAGGAACGTACAGACACCACAAAATGTTCTTTTTAAACATTTATACACGTAAGTCCAACCAGTTGGACTGGCTTATCAGAAACAGGCCAAGGGAATAAAATAAACTCCAAAGGAAGGAACCCAAGAACATAGCGTGTAAACTGCAAACAACAACACTGCCACTGCCAAAGCCTGAACATGGGCCAAGCCTAATTATGTTTGCGTTGGAAGGTAGATCTTTATTGTTCTGGAATCAAGGCAGTAAAATCAGTTGGTAGGGTTTCTTTGAGCATTAATATGTATTTTACAGCTGCTGGTGAAACAAGAAAGGGAGAGATAATTATAACTGTTTCGTGACAAGCCGAGAACTTCTTAGGATCTGATTGACCTTAGGGTATCAAGGAAGCACACTCAGTACAGGCCAGGAAAGGGAACCCCTCCTTGTACAACCGATTTCTACTGCATGAGGCTGGGGCTGTCTCTTCAGGCCATGGAACACAGTGACCCAGCACTGCACGTGCCAGCTGCAGTCCGCCCCTTGTCAGGTCATCACTTTGACACTGCTCATTGCAGGACACAGCATTTCAGGCCTTTCCCTCCCTTACAGACATGCATGGCATGTCCTCACTCCCCCACCCACAGACACCCTTCAGCACCACGTCCAAAGTTCCTCTCACCTTCAGCCTTGCCCAGTCTTTCTGCTGTGTAACAAGGCTCCCACGACAAAGTGTTATCTCAGATCTAACTCAATCCTCTCACTGACTGGCCGTTTAATTGGAAAGGCTACATGTGTCCCAAGTCCTATCAACAAGGAACACAGTTCATTTATAGGCATGGGATTTCTCCAGGACTATGACTTCAGATTCCATTATGTGGCAGTCACAAAACTGGGTGATGTCATACTGGTTCCTTTAGGGATATAAATCCACTGGTAAATTTACACCCTCTGATCAGCAATGTACAGACAGTCCCTGGAGATCTACACTAAAGCTGCCACAAATTGGCAGTAATGCAATCTGGTGTCAAGTGTTTTCTGAAGGAAGGGTTTGTTATAAGAAACCTAACTACACATTCACAATACTCTTCATTATGACCCATAAGACCTGTTGTGATCCGGCCGGTCTACCTTACTACATCTCAGACCCCTTGGCCACCTTCTGGTTCCTAAATTCTCTAAGTTCTTTCTGGTCTCAAGAGACAGTTCCCTTCACGTGCTTTCTCTATCCTAGCACTTCATTCTCTCTTCCGGGGCTCTACTCTCTCTTCCAGTGCTCCCCCGCAACAGCAGGCTCCTCATTTGTCAGGTGTCAACATGCTGCTTATTCCCTTCATTATATTCAATACATCTGACTCTTTCCCCACCTCTTCCCTCCCCCACTTACTACTAGACCAGCCCCATGTCCACGCCGGACCTCAGTCCTTCATACTAAAGTTCTACTGGAACAAGCTTTGAACTTTAAGAGGCAAATAACAGGTCAACAAAATAACTTACTAATTATGAAGGGAAAAATTATCGCTACGAGGAAGGAATCTGGTGGTCAACACCTTACCAAGTGGTCAAACTTACCCCCAGTGATGGGACAAGGGGATATGATGTGATGCCTTGAGAAAGATGCAGCCCTACCCAAATCCTAGAAAACATGTTTAACATGAATCAGATCAAAAGGAAACAATCAATACAAACTAAGGGACGTTCTGAAATCAGTTGGCCTAGATTCTTCAGTAACATCAGTAACACAAAGAACAACAGAAGCTGTGTAGGAATTGTTCTAGTTTAAAGGAAACAAGAGCTAGGACAGTTGAATGTAATGTACAATGACTAATTAAAAATACAGCTATACCAACAGGGAGAAACCCCATCTCTACTAAAAATACAAAATTAGCCAGGCGTGGTGGTGCACACCTATAATCCCAGCTACCTGGGAGGCTGCGGCAGGAGAATCGCTTGAACCTGGGAGGTGAAGGTTGCAGGGAGCTGAGATCTCACCATTGGACTCCAGCCTGGCCAACAAGAGCAAAACTCTGTCTCAAAAAAAAAAAAAAAAAAAAAAAAAATACAGCTATAAAGGACATTAATGGGATAACTGGAAAGTTTTACATATGGAGTGTATTAGGTACTACTTTTGTAATAATTTAAATTTTGCCAAGAGCAATCTTGTAGTGTGTTTCTTTAGAGCAATACATATCCCACTGAATTTATATGCTGTGGAAGTTATGGATGAAATCTAATGATGAGTACAACTAAATCTCAAATGGT